TTTTGAGAAAGTCACTAAGAACAGAAGTGTAACAGCATGAAGCTTTGAGAACTGTGAGGGAAATTTAATTTCCTGACACTGATGAATCTTGCTGAGTATACAAAGACTTTTATGATGCTCAGATAATTTAACAGTAATTGCTAAAGAATAACTGTGCATTATTGTAATATGTAGATTTTTGGATGTGATGTAACTAACAGATCTGTATTTCAGCTCTCTATAAATACTGCTATTTGCGTTATTAATTGTATTTGGGCATGTGAGTACTATTTTTCATAGATAAGTCCCCTGTTACTGTACCTTATATGTGTGCATTCCTGTTTTATATTGTATTTGAATGCAACAGGAATGATGAAGATGTGAGTAGATTTTTTTGTTTAGCATGACACGTGACACAAGACATGTCAAACCTTTACTGTGGACATTGTCCTAAAAGTTACATCTCTGTGTGTCTAGAGCCTTTTATATGTAAATAAGTATAGATCTAAACTCTCTGATAAGATGTAGTACTCTTCTGTTGGTGCGTTGTCTTGAGGCTTAGAATGTTTTCTCTTGGAAGGTGGTGAACATACTTCCTTCTAAAGCAGATGTGAAGCATGTGAGCTAGTATCAACCCCCTGTGATGTACAGGGAGGTTAGGAGAGGCAAATCCCTGGAGGCTTTTGGTGCCAATGGTCCGTGTTCATAACGTAGTGAGGCTAAATGCGGTGGTACCAAGTGCATCAAGGATGTTTTGCTTAGACCAGAAAGCTTTAGTTGTTGAAGATCACATCAACAGGCCTGTCCCCTAATGAAGACGGGATAAGACCCGCCTTTGTTCTTAATTATGCTTGGTTTGGCTTTTTTATGTTGTTTACCAGTTTACAGAAGCATGGCTGCCATTAGAATGTCCTTTTAGGGTTTAATTTTTAATTCTTGTTAGGTTTTTGTTTCTTTCCAATTAGAACCTTTCTAGCAAAGTAGAGTTGTTTTTCCTTAGTTTGACTGCAAATAGCAGTGTAACTCTGCAATAGGACAGAAACAAATTTCTCTTCTCATACTTTGCAAGTGTGCAGAATTATTGTAGTGCCTTAAGAGCAGAACTTAAAATCAGGAGAGAAGATTAATTAGACTTTTCCTTTATTAGTTCATTGTATGCAATTTCTTTATTTACTGAAAAATGTGGGTAAAATGTATTCACTGCTCTGAAGTCTAGATAATATGTTGAGAAAGACAAGCATTTTGTTGGAGAGAAATGAAGTTCCTGAATAAAACAGGTGTTATTTGTTACTGCACGCTTTTGCTGTGACAGTGACTTGTTTTTGACATTCTTTTTATTACTGTTTGTGGTATTCAGAATTTACAGTGTTTTCTGAATGCCACACTGTTAAAGTATGTATGTTGAACTTGCCCTGAAAAGATTTCAGTTGCATCATTATTGAAATATCTCACATTTTCACCTGTCCTTATTAAACAAAATTACAACAAGCTTCAGTGTCTTCAGTACTTTTCGTGTTTTCATTTGTCATTCTATTTTCTTTGACTGATTCAAGCTGGGACTAGCTGTTGAAGATTGGTTATTTGGTGTAGGATTGAAGCAGAATTGCTTGTTCATTTTTTCTTGTCAGTAGCTAAGAATGTCAAAAAGCGAGTAGCAAAACTGACCATTCTCAAATCTGCAGGATCTGAAAATTCATTCTGGCATACACATTTTTTTTTAATCAGTTCTTATATATCATATATACTGACTGCTAGCATATCTTGAAACAGTGAGAAAATTCTGTGTCTGAAACAAACTAATGATAATGTACAGTTTATTAACAAAGAGTCAGGTGAATAGCATGACCTAAAACTCTGGCACAATTATGGCAAAACTTGTATGTAATATAGTCATCAGGGCTTAGTACATGTACTGATATATTTTTTCCTTTAAAAAAGTAAGGTTTTTTTTAATGTCGTCTTTGGTTTTCATTGCGAAGGGGGTTTTTGTAAGAAATGTATTGAAGTGATGTGTGTGCCTTTCTGTAACACTTAATCCTGCTTTATATTCTTCAAGGAAAAACTCTGTTTGGCAAGGATTGAAGACTTTGTAATTGTGGTTTTAGTTTTATTAACTGCAAAGGAAATATTTTGGAAGTGTTTCTAGTACAGAGGATAACACTGATCTCAACTAATTTATTTTTTACACGTTCATCAGTGATTGGGAAGCTAAATGAATGAGTAAATTTTATAATAAAATATACATAGAAAATTAATATTTACTAGTGATAATGTTAAAAAAATCTTAAGTTATAGAGGGAGGATAGCAGGGGAAACTTAATTTTACTGGTATTACTTGAACTCTTTTTTGTTATCATATTGTAATATTTCTAAGTCCTACATTAGGTATTTTTGAAAAAGAGATTGGAGACCATGCTCACAATATACTGTGTTCAGCGCTGAAGAGGACTTATTAAAAGACTATGGCATGTGACAAATTGTGAGCTTTACTGCTTTATTTTATAATACTCCTTTTCTTTCAGACAGCAATGGACCAGTTACATATGCACTTCACTCAAGCCATTCACAACACTGTGTTTCAAGTAGTCCTTGGGTACGTGGAGCTGTGTGCAGGAAACACAGACACCAAGTTTCAGAAGTTACAGTACAAAGACCTCTGCACAGTACGTAATTCTTACATATATGTGTATTTATTAACCTGAATTTGTCGCCTATTTTAAGTGTACCTTTTGTAAATAGGGACTCAGTTATTAAAATAACCCTGCAGCTACTATAGTTTCTTAATGCAACTTCTAGGCTAATTGGGACGTTGGTTATTCACAACTTAATCCTGATTTTGATTGCACTAAATCTTAGCACTTTGGAGTTGGTGTACATGCCATCTAAATAAATGTAAAGAAGTAAATCATAGGGTACAAGCAGGAGATGGAGACTTCAAAACTCCCATGTCTTCAGTGTCATATTAGTTACTGGAATTACTATTAGCATTTAACTTTATTTCAGAGCATTTCAGCAGTGTTCACAATTACTGTAATAATGCATTTCAGTAAGGATTCTTGTGAAGATACTAAATAATTGGAATCTGCATTACTCCTAACTTTGTATCAGATTTGTTACACTTTTGGTGTCACTATAAGCTGTAATACTGAGATGCAAACCTGATGATACGCAGGTCATGGGCTGGGCTTAACTGTGCATTTTCCTCTAGTATACATTTTAGGTGCATTTTCTTGCGTGTGTGTTTTGTTTAATTTAAAAAATTATATTAGAATTAATTACCATATTTTAAGTAGTATTTTTAGTTCACCCCTTAGTTCTTTCTCTGGTGATCTTACTGTTGTGCTCTGAAAAGTTTTCTTAAACTTTGGTGGTATGGAGAGAGAGTGTGAGATATTTTAGGGGGTTGTAAAATTAAATAAAACCTTGAAATTATGCTTCTGTCTTGAGTGTTCTTGATTCATCTATTTCAGTCACAGACTAAGCCCTTCTCATACTTCATCAACTCAAGGATCCACCCCATCAGTTGAAATTTATTAAATCAAAGTAAAGTCATAAGGAGATTAAAGTTCATATTCTGATCCACGTTTTGCTCTTTCACGTCTCAGATCTCTTGGGATTGTGTAGCTTCAAGTAATAAATAACACATCTGCATTGAAAACCGTTTAATTGTCGAGAGGTACCCCTTTGACTTAAAAGGTTTACATAATGTAAAAGCCCTTAAGTGAGCAAAAGTGAATTATGAAAAATTAATTTACTGGGAATAATTGACATAAGTATTCATGAACAGAATGGGTAAGGTTCCAGCTACGTTGTATTTGCACTTCACTGAAATGAATTCTAGTTGAAGAAAGCCAGCAAACACTGATCTCTGTTCTCCAGACTGCAGCTGTTTTGTATTTCTGCTTTAAGTCTTCAGAGTGTGGGGTTTTTTGTTTGTTATTTTTTCTATCTGGTTTTCCTTCTTCAGAACACTCATGAGATGCTTCTTTAGTTATATGAGCCTACAATAACTGGAATCAGGCAGTCTGCCAACCTTTAGGGCTATAATTTCCTTGAAAAGTATTGCTTTTAAAAATTTTTCATTACTCTCTTGGTGACAATTAGGTATTTAGGCACAGGCTGCAGATTAGAAATTTTGATCTCTGTTGCAAACTGTGCTGTCCAGTGTTGTTTGTTACCTGTTGCAGGGCATTTGTGAGAATCAGATCGCTGAATAAGCTGGACTACCATAGCAATTACATTTCTAATTTCCTGTAGAAAAAATACCAACAGATTTTCACTCTTGTGTTCAGTTGTAAGGGAATAAATTGCTTAAGACTAAAATATGAGCCTGCTTTCTCTGTCTGCTTCCAGTGAGAACCCTTTTCAACCTGTGTACACTGTTAAGCCAGCATATTCTTAATGTATAAACGGTTATGGAGTGCTTACTCTAATTATACATTGAAAGTCATACAAAATTAAGGTCTTCCTTTTTTTGGCAGTTCTTCTGTTGTATGTTTCTAAAAATCTTTCTAACTGAACTAATTTAGCACATTTTCATTTTACATGGGTAGTGAGGGACAATGGTGGGTTTTTAATTTTTAATTTTTTGTAGTTGCTTCTTTCAAGATAGTGGATTTTAGAATAATGTGGGTTATTTTTGTTTTTTAAATAATGTTTTCAGTAATTCTTAGGCATTTATGTAAATTATGTGCCTGAGCACTCTGGGACGCTATTTTCTTGTTGAGCTTTTCTTCTCCTAGTGTTACGCCATGCTCTAACTCTTTCATCCTTTCTCCTTGAATACTACTGGAGCAGGGGAGTTTGGTTGCTTTATCCTCAAGTTTATATCTTCTTTATTCTAGCATAAATTGAAAGAAATTCAGTTGTTCATTTCCTTTATCTAAATGGAATTATCTTGGTATTGAGTAAGAGATCCTTTCTTCCTGGCCACCTGGAAGCCGGTGTGTTTTCAAGCATAGTGATCTGCACAGCCAAAGTTTAGATATTATAGCTACTAAAAGCCCTGAAATACAGTAAGAGTGACATTGCCTGATGAGTTGGCAGAGAAAATTACTGAAACAACTGTTGAAATGGCAGGGCAGCTTACTGATTAAATGATAAACTTACTACCTTATTTGGTTCCATCAATAACAAAGTTCTGTAGTACCTGAGATTAAAGTGTCTCAATAATGCAGTCAGTAATGAATATCAACTCTCCAGTTAAAGGGCATTTTAGAAAAAAAATAATATTCTCAATTGTTACTTTTTTGATGCACCAAGAACTTGACTTTTTTGTTGTACTGGTGGTTGTGTGTCCAGGATCCCTAATTTATATCCTTCAGTCAGCTCTGGTTTGATAGGGAACAGAACCAGAATAATAATTAATTAAAAAAACCCAAAATCTAAGCAACAAAAAAGACATAATGATTAATATAAGGCCTCCAGATATTTTTGCTAGTGGCATTTATTACTGCTAGTGAACAATTTTTTGAGTCCTTAATCATACTCAGAGTGTGGGAGGATACCGCTTGGGCTGAATGAGTTATGTGCCAGGAGCTTTATTATAGCTGAGAAAGGAAGAGAGCATGATTAAATCCAAAGTAAAGATACTTATAATTTTTTGTTACCTGAAAGCTGAAAAATAGGAGGGCCATAAGTGATGCAGCTGCAGTTGTGAAGAAATCTGTCCAGTCTAGTTTTTATCATCCAACAAATATTCAAGCTTATCAAGGTTTTGTTGCAAAACATTGATAAGGAAAGACACTCAGTGTTTAGAAGGCCACAGTTACCTTAATGTGGAAGGTACAATTCAGAGGGAATCAATGGCTTTGGTTAAGGGTTTGCTCCGTATAGAATCCATGGTTAATTATTTTGGTGGTTATGCTGACATCACTGTTGCAGAAGCCGTTACTATTTTTGAAATGGTTTGTTGTAGCTGTAATGCCACAAAGCTTTTCTGTCATCTTGAATATACATTTTTGAGTTATCATGTAGTACCCACATGGTAAAAGCTAACTAGCCTTGCAGATGTTTGCTGTGGGCACTGGCATAGCAGTGGGAAAGTATGAGCTGTTTTCTACAACAGTATTGGTTTGATGTGCAGATTTCTGGACTTCCCTGAGAATCTTTAATTAATAATGTGATTGAGATCACATTTGTGCAGATGGACTTTGCCCTTGATTGTAAGCTGTGAGACTGTGCTTCACAGCAAGTGAGACAAGGGTGACTTACCATTGCTGCTCAGATAAGCAATATATTTTATTGGTTTTTTACTCAGTAAGACCTTTTCTCAAATTAATCCCTTTACCTGACAGTCTCATCCTGGGTACTTCTACTGTGTATCTATCTCTGATACAACTGATACTCTTCACCTAATGAGTATCTTAAATCACAGTGACTCTCTGGAGTGGAGTATGTGTCAGGAGGCAGGACAGCTGCTGAGTTTGCTTGTTTGTTTTTAATTGTCTTCTTTATACAACATTTAATCCAATGAGGCACCAGCCAGGATGGCTTCTGTGTACAACTAGCTATGTCATTGAACTGATGCAGTGTCTGCATTTCACAGGGTGGTTGCATCCCTCTTTGTTGGTGACATGTGCTGACCGCTAGACTGTATGGCTTTACTTCTCTATCTACCTTGCTGTTCCATAAATATGAGGTGGTTAATATGTGGACCAACTGGAAAAAACTTTGCATTATTTGACAAAAATCATGCATTCATCAGCTCTAGAATACTTTTGTAAAGGAAACTGATGTACATCAAGCATCTTAGTGTATGAATATGGAGGGTTTTCTGTTTTGTTTTTCCTCTGCAAAAAATGAATACAGTTGTTAAGTTTCACAATGTTGTTTTTTTCTGTAGCATATTACATCAGACAGCTACATTCCATGCCTTGCTGATCTCTGCAAAGCCCTCTGGGAAGTCATGCTCAGTTACTACCGCACCATGCAGTGGCATGAGGATCATGACCAAGATGAGGAAGCAACTGTGTCTTCTGGTAAGAAACTGTTCTGGAAACAAGACTTATGATGTTTGGAAATAACTTTTCTTACGCTCAAATTGTTAATTTGCGTATCAGTACCTTTGTAGTCTTAACTCAGTGCCTTCAGCATTATTGCTTATAGTCTACAGTGAGGACTAAAATACTCACTAGATTTTTGTAGCCTTCAGTATAAGGTTCATTTTTAATAAATGTGTATGTGCCATTATCACAGATATAAACAGTTTTATTTTAAATTGTACTTATTTTTAAGTTTGAAGTAAGCTGTGGTAGATGATTAGAGAATCTAAGGCTTTTTCACTTTTATGTAGGATCTGTGAAGTTTCATATTTTTTTCAGTGTTGAAATTTTCATTACATATTAAGTTGGATTGTGTACTAGAAAAGGTGACTGAAAAAAACAGAGAACAAATGTGTTGTGGTTTTAAGGAAATGAAATTTCCTGAATGTTGTACATCATCTATACTAGTGAATACACCATAAGATCACATCTGTTTGCTTGTTTTTTACTGAAAAGGAGGCTTATGTCAAAGGACAAGGACTGCAGAATTGTCGCTAAAGTTATTCCTCCTTGCTTGAGATGCATAAAACTTACATCCTTTAGTTAGATTATAAAAAGAAAGGGAAAAAAATTTGGAAATAGAAGTAAAGAAAAGATTTTCCTAGAATGTATTTGAAATCCAACAAATCCAACATTTCTTTCAAAACTCAGATTTAGTACAGATTTTAAGTCTTAAAAAGAATTAAATTTGTTATATTCAACATTGTCTTCCTACTTTAAATTTGAAAAATTAATGGAAGTGTTTTCTTTGAAGTGTCCTTCCTGTATTGTGTGGAAAAAGCTTAAAAAATGTGAAATTGTTGAAATGGGGATTTCAGATAAAAGTTTTTTTATATCTTAATTAAAATTCACAGATAAAAGATTTAATTGAGATGCACCATGTGAAGAAAGATTCTGAAGTTTGCAGTGAATTTCCCATTCTCAATAATATTTACTTTTAAATTTAAAATAACTTCAGATAATTAAATTTCCTTCTCTTGTTTTCATTTTCTTCTCATCTTTGTATGTGTGAAATAAAACAGTGACCAGTGTTTATTATTATATGGAAACAATATCCTAGTAGACCACTTGCTCAGCTCCAGATGTAATTTTAAATGTAGCTCCTCTTAATGTAGTTGCTTGTGATATCCTAAAAAACCAAAATAACTTGCACTGCAAAACAGTTAAAAGAGACCACTAAGCCAAATGAAGTGGTATACTCAGTCATGAGTAATTTTAAATGCATTGCTTCTTAAATGTGTGCCAGAGTGTTATGGTATGTTTACTACTAATCATTGTATCTGCTGTTGCTCACTTTAAGTTTTTGGAGATGGTAGGGCTTAGCTGTAATATAGAACTAGAACATATCTGAGCTACTGACTCACTTTTCAAATACCTCGGCAATGATAAAGCACACAAGGGAATTTCATAAGTGTAATTTTAATTTCAGAGGGACTAAAAATATGCACCAAATGTCTTGTTTTTCCTAAAAGTCATCGCTCATTCTGAAGTAATTATTAAACATGTGCATGGAAGTTTTGCTCCATGTTTATTGATTTAATAGCTGTGATATGTACTAAAGCAAAACAGTTACGATTCCTGTAGAAGGGTGGTTATGTCAGAAGGAACCACAAAGGCAGTTCAGGAAATTATGCTGAAATTATTCCCTTGATTAGACCCTGTAGACTGAAGCAGTAGAGGGAGCAGTCTTAATGTCTTGCAAAGTACATTAAATGGGTCAAGGGACTCTTGATCTTAGGGCACCATCCCAGCTCTAGAAGTGAGAAGCTGGACTTGGAGGCCATGAATTATACATAGCTCTTTTTATTTTAGTAGTGAAGCTTATCCAAAAGAAGTACTGCGTAGATTATGGAAAGAAGGTTGCACTTCATCTAGATCATGTGCCATGTATTTGTGATTATTAATGCCTGTTAGAGGTGTCTTCCACAGTGTTCTCCTACAGAAGGTGGTGGCTCATGGCTTAGACAGGTGGCTTACAAACTGGCTGGACTGCTGAGCCCGGAGAGTTGTGGTGAACGGAGTGAAATCCATCTGGCACCCAGTCACAATTGGTGTTCCCCAGTGAGCTGTGGCTAAGATAGCTCTTTTTTTAACTCATGTAGTCAGAGAGAGGCTAAACCCACTTAGTGTTTCTGTAGTTGGTTTATTCTTTCTGTTTATCTTTTGGATGATCTTCCATGATAAATTGCTTTTGAAAGTGCATTTGTCATAATTCTTGCTTTCAGAAGAGGAGCATATTTAGGTACAGTTACTAAATTATAATTTATATACACAGTGGCCGGGATTCGTTCTATGTTTTTTCTTTCTTGAGAGAAGTTTTCTTTCAGTGCCCTACAACAGTAGATACAGTATGGAAGTCTGAGTATTGTTTTCACTTATGAGATTTTTTGTGTGTCTTTTGCTGTTATTCTGACATTGAAAAGGTTACTTGGTTGCTTGTTGTGACCTTTGGTGATTTGTTATTTCTTTTTACATATCTGTACAGTTTTGTGATGTAAACAGAAGTAAGAATAAGTACACAGCTCTGTAGTATAACAAGTGTAGATATGATGTGTTGATAAGATTGTATGGAATATTCACTATGAGGGTGCTGAGACACTGGAGCAGGTTATCCAGGGCAATTGTGGATGCCCCATCCCTGGAAGCGTTCAAGGCTGGGTTGGATAGGATTTTGAGGCAGCTGGTCTATTGGGAGATGTCCTTTCCCATGCAGGGGGGTTGGAACTAGATGATCTTTAAGGTCTTTAAGGACTTGATATCCAGAGGTCCCTTCCAACCTCTGACATTCTGTGATTCTATGATTTTGAGTAAATTTTGAGGGTAAATTCTTAGTCTGCCTGCAGAAGCAGTCTCAGTGACTTCAAACAGGAAAGAACTGAACACAGCTTTGCAGCCTTGGAAGTAATGTTTATCTATCCCTAATATAAGTCCTAATTCTGTTGTATATTTTATTAGGTTTTTAATGGCGAAGAGGAGTTGAAAGCACCAGAGCTTTTACATTCTGGCTGCATATTGTATTGTACTGGTTCTGTATTCTTGAGGTCTAGCCTCATGGGCAGACTAATTTTAACTTATCTGGCTTAAAGATTCTTCTTGGCAGTGTTTATATGTCCACAATCATAATCCCTAGCTTGCAGTTGAAGCTCCCTCAATGTTTGGTAAAGATCCTAATTTAATAACATGTCCAGACACACCAAATAGCTCCACTTGAAAGAAATTAAGCAAGGCAAGCATCCTTCCCAGTCACCATATTCCCCATATTTGCTGAATTTAAATGGAGTTACAGTTATTGAAGATTTCATATTTTTACTGTTCATGTTATGTTTATATATTACATAAGCATTCATGTAATAGGTATAATGTAGCCAGGGTCTGTGTGCTTATGGACCAAGCGACCAGGGGTTGGTCGCCGTGCCGTTCCTAAACCAGGTCGCCCTGCCTGCCTGAAGGCAACAGTATTATATATATTTAAGTGTTTTTTTTTAATATTGATGAAAAATGCAAATAGTTATTTTTCTGAGAAACATACTCTGAAAAAGTTCAGAGTAGAAAACATATTGATGGGAAGAAGAAAGTTTCATATCGTGCTCCTCTACTTAGCATTTGACCTGGACTGGGAGTATGAGAGGTAAATGCTAATTAGGATTAATAATTATTACAGCAGGTAACTGCTCACTTGAGAGTGAGCACTGGGTGATCTGAAGATGACGTGGTCAGAACACGGTCAGACTCTGCTGTGCTCTTTTGTACTTTGGTTTAATTGAATTGTCAGTGTCTGATGCCTCTTATAACCATTCTTGCTCAGTGAGCAACTCTCCTCTCTCCTAAATGCATAGTGCTGGAGAGGTCTGCTCTGCACACATCTGAAAAGGCTGATTAAAGTCTCGTATCTGGCCTCCCATTCCTTACTGAGCTCGTTAATAAGGTGCTCATGATACTTGTCTAGACTGTAAGGTCTAGAGCAAGGCTTGACACAGAGAAAGCGTTTAGGTTGTTGACAAAAAAATTCTTAGTGCTGGCAGATGGAGGGCAGACGTAGGTTCTCTGTGGTTCTGGACTCTTCTTCAGCAGACAGTAAAATTAGACATGAAAAATTGCTACCCTTTCTGAGGAAGGTGAATTGAAGCCATGAGGAATTCTGGAAAAATTATAATGGCTAAGGCAGAAGTTTCATTATGGGTAGAAAACTAGGATACATTTCAAGGCTTTTGGAAAGATCTACAATACCTTTCACTTTCAGTTTCAGATGGCAGCAACGTGATAGGAACTGAAGAGAACAGTTTTGATCGCAGCTATGTGAAAAAGAAATTAGAACATGGGCTTTCACGGATATGGCAGGTATGCTTTTTTGATTATTTTTTTTTTCCTAAAAGTTATTTGTTAGGGGCTAAATGTATCAAAACCACAGCAACTGCTTGGTTGCTTCAGGTATGTTAGAAGGTCAATGAGAAACTATCCATGTTACAGAAAATTCTCCATTTTCAAAAAGTTTTGAAAAGTGCAAGCAACCCAAAAAGTACTAATGAAACAGGCATCTGAGCCTTCACTTTTTGTCTTAAGCGTATTAAGTGTACATAAACTTGTTTGTGTTTTGTAGGATGTTCAACTGAAAGTGAAAACATATCTTCTGGGAACGGATCTATCTAACTTCAAATATGACGACTTCATATTTGTACTTGATGTTACTAGCAGGTATACTGATGTGGTCATAAGACCACAACACATGTATAAACTTGAACTCTGATATGGCAGCACAATTAATTAAGGCTGATATTTACGTTCTTACCAACTTTGTTCATATCTACTGATAGTCTAAAGAGCACTTTATGTGGGAGTTTATGAGGATGTAATTGGAGGGGTAGCATAAATTGCTTTGCCGTTCAAGTGGTTCTTAAGTGTGATATGATTTTGGTGTCATCCACCTTTAAGATTTCAGGTGTGCAGATTTGCACACCTGAAATGTTTCTAAAAACTCTTACAGGGACTTTCAGTAAAGAGCAGCAGAATACTGTGGTACTGCTAATCTGTACAGCATTAAGGCCTTCTGTTTTGGTAAGAAAATTACTGATTCAGACTGTGAGCTGTACAGCTTGCTCTGCTTAATGAGATCTCATAAAAGTCATTTATTTTGTTTGTGGCTCTGTCTATGTGTATGGGACATTATGATAGAATTTTGAGGGAAATGAGATACGGACTTTTGTGGAATGAGTAAGTGCAACTTCATGTTGGTGCCCTGCTTTTATGGAGATATACCTATCTCATAGTAACAACTGTGGCTTGTAATTCAGGTTGGCATAGCAGTATTAATGAATCAGTAAATATTTCTAAACTTTGTTTTATTGCTATAGGCTGATGCAAGTTGGTGAAGAATTTTGTGGCAGTAAGTCTGAAGTTCTGCAAGAATCTATCAGAAAACAAAGTGTTAACTATTTCAAAACATACCACAGGTGAGATTACTCTATGTGCAGTAGATTAATGGGATTTATTTTTGTTGAATTCAATTTTAAATGCTTTCCAAGGGAATTCCACTGCATAGTGTTTCTGCATTGAAGTTGACAGAGTGGAATAAGTATCATGGTGAGAATAAAGTTCTGAGCACTGAAGAAGGGGGCAGGGTGGAGAAGCTTTTGCTTCTGCTATGGTTGTGGAAAACTAGATATGCAGCCAGCAAGCCAGATAAAGATGAAAAGCTTTTTATATAGAATTTCAGGAATTATTCAGGCTGTCTCCTGGCATCCTGAGGATGAATGTCTTTTAAATCCCTACTTGCTAATAAAATTGTTGCTTCTCTTTTTTTGGGCCTGATCATGTGTGACTATGAACTTTTTTTCCAATATGCCACTTTGTCTTATATCAAATGAGATGTTTAGAACTGAGTCCATCCTTTTGAGTTATGATTTTGTAGATTTTCCACTGGCAGTAGCTAATTATGTTTCAGCCAACTCTACTATCGTATCTGAAGCCAGTCATGTGCTGTCATTTGCAGGCAGTGTCTGGTGTCAGATATGATATATGGCTATGGCAGTTTCAAGACTTATCTGTTTATTTTAACTGCCTTGATTTCTCAAATGTTGTGATTTGGGTGTTTTGGTCTACCTAATGAGTCTTTCACTACACTGATTTACCACATAATACATTATTTGCTTAAGTAAACATTGTTTTGACTATTATCATTTTGTGTCTGTTTAAAGAACCTATTTAACAGCTAAGGATTCAGAGACTAATTTTCTGTATTATCTTTGAGTAAAATAAATATTGAGTAGCATTGATGGAATATGTATAGAAATAATACGTTTTTTAAAATAACTTGTGTTTATTATTAAGGTAACGTTTCTTGTAATTCTTGTGGGAAAAAAATGAAGTAATTATTGATATGACTTGATGTGAACCTTTTAATACTTTTAACATATTTTATGCTGTGTAGGTATTATGAAGATTAATTGGCTGATTTTTTCATCCTCAGAAAAAAAAAATTAATAGAAAACATCCTCTTTTCCAGATGTATCCCTCAGGTTGATTTATATAAGAGCTTTAAGCATCTGCTGTTTCCGATCAAGCTAATGGGGCTTTCACTCCACTTGTGTATTTAATTGGAGGGGGAAAAAATTATTTTAAGGATTCATTAAGTTCATAACATTTAAGTTACTTAGAACTAAAATGCTCAGAGTTCAGGAGTAATCATTTGATAGTGTAATTTGACATATGTGGTCTCCTGGGTGGTGTGGTGTTTAGGAGAACTGCCAGCATAAAGAAATAATTCAAAGGAACTGGTCATGTCATTGAAAAAGCATAGAAGAGTAATGTAATATTAGAGCACACATAAGCCTTTTTTGGTTAAATGTTGATTATTTTGAAAAATTAGGATAGGATTTTGGCAGAGAACATCACTAAGGCAACTTGAGGACTGCAGTATACTTTTTGTTCTGGTATGTTAGGAAAAAGGTGTATCTGATCACTAAAGCTGCTCGGAGGACATGTGCATCTGACCTTCCATGTGTGCCACTTTCTGGACTTGTACACTGGTGAAACTGAAAAAGATTTGTTCAAGTACTTTGTCCGTGCCTTGATTTTGGCTTTGAAATTATGCAAAACCTGGCACCATATGGCTCTTCAGTGTTTGCATTTCTATGACTCTTTCTCCTTAGTCTTCCTCAAGGAATTCTAGTCTATAATGCTGACTTTCACAGCATCTCTATCTGTTGATTCTCGTGGCTTTACTGTGAGAAGATCTACGGGTGCTCAGTGCCTCAAAAATAACACATGAAGTCTATTTGTAGTTAACTGGTGAATTTAAATAGACACAGCAAACTTTAGTCATGTTTCAACACATTGCTTATCTTGTTGAACAATAAAATTTAATTGTAGTGGTGATTATAGTTTTTTATTGAAATAGTGGTATTTCTATTTCTTACTGCCTAACTCAGTGCATAATTTACCAACTGCAACTTGTTAGGCAAAACACTATACCATATGTTAAGAAGAAAAGATGCAGCAATGTGATCTTGATAAGCACTCATTGGTGTCTTTTCCTATATGAGTTCCTGCTTAAGTATTTTCTTTGTTAAAGGTATTTCTACTTATGGCTGAGCAGAAGCTTCTTGAAGAATTAAAAGCATAACAGAAACAGTAGATAAATGTAAGGGCTTAATGATGTTTCCCTAATATATTTTCTATATTAGTACCAAGGTAAAGTTAAGCTATGATGAAAAATATAGTTCAGGAGATTAAAAGCCATTCAATTTCTCTCTTTTCTGAAAAGTTGAAATGCCTGTAGAACATTAGTACTTTCCAGTTCCTGCTTCTGTTGGCTTCTCTGTGTTTGAAAGAAGCATCTCTATTGTGTGGCCTCACAGAAGCTCTTGTGCCTCTAATAGTATGTTTGTAATTATTATGTTGCTTTCTACAGCTTACACAGAGGAAAAAAAGTCCAGTATTACTACATAATCATAGGCGTCTCTCTCTACTTTCTGATAGTTTTGACCAAAAAAAAAATGTTTCCAAAGTTCGGAGATTGACATTCACGGAGAATTTCTTCAGAGATGTCATGAAACATATGCTATATTAGTAGCCAGGGCTTTTTGCGTGGTCTGTTAGTTGAAAGAATGAGTTAAGTGTCTGTTTTCAAGTGTGACTTTTTAGACAGTTTGTTAAGATGATCTTCACTGCGTAAGTTTAATAATGATCTACTTCCTTATTTATACTTGCTGACAAATAAGACTATTCATTTGTTGTATTTCAGAACCCGTCTTGAAGAATTAAGGATGTTTTTGGAGAATGAGACCTGGGAACTTTGTCCTGTTAAATCAAGCTTTAGTATTCTGCAGCTTCATGTACGTTCTATGAAGTAACACATACAAGTGTATTAATAGTTTAATAGCAAAGAGTTCAGGTATTCTGAGAGGTAGTAAGATCCGTGAACTACTGTACAAATTTTTAATGGCTGCTAACCCTCCTTAAATTTCACTTCATTGTATTGGAAACTTAAGATTTAAATACTTTTAAAACAGCGGTGTTCCTGTTTCAGGCAGTTAGACATTCACAGAAGAAGCTAGAGATGTAAGCACAACTTAGCCTTTATTTTTCATGTTTTAATGAGCTGTTAATATGTCAGTTTTCCATTTCTAAATTAATTATTTGAAAAAAAGATACTAAAAGGTGATCACCTAAAATCAGCCACATGAACACGCACTAGCTTGTACCGATTTTGGCATCTGTTTCTGGAAACATAGGTCATACTGGCTTATTTGGAAAGGAAAAAAAAATAATTACTCTGTGGTGAAGTCCAACAGAAAGCAAAATGAAACGAGAGCATTATTAGTAAAGCTATTGCTAAAGTGCAAAAATGGACATAGTTGAGCAATCTCAAGCTAGAGGTAATTTTGCAGCTTCTGTAGAGTTAACTGTGAAAGTAAGCAAGAGGTTACTGGGGCAGTAACAGCACAGAGGTGAAGGAAGGAGGACCCTCGGTAGCATGAAGTAGCAAAATAAATAATGTTTTAAATAAAGAAATGAGATTATAAAACCAGACATACTGCTCAAGTGACTGAAGCAGCAGATAATGGCAGAAATTAAGGGATTAATTTAAACAGAAATCTAATATTGCTGTCATTTTAGCTTCATGTTTTAATCTTTAAACCTTTAGATAAGTGAGGATGTACATTTTGACATTATAAAGATCAGTAGCTTTAGTTTAGTAGATAAAAATGATGTCAACTGAGATAAGCTATTTAGAAAAAAAAAGTCTGAAATCATGCCTTATGAGCCCTACTTAGTCCATACATTTGCAAAGGTATGGGCATGCACCCACTTACCAGAAACTTTGTATGTATTTAGAAATGAATAAATTTTGAAAAGAACTTTTAAAAAATAAAATACAAAGAAAAAAAATTCAGCTTTAGTAAATTACTATTTAACTTATGTAAAGAAAACTACTTATAAAAATCGATTCTAGGTCTTGTTTTATCTCCTAATTTCTGTGAAATAAAAAACCCACATAGTTTTCAACTAGTTTTAGACAGCAGATACTTTCAGAGTGCTGGTGATGCATTGCATGTCATAGCCAAAATCTGCAAAAATTAGAAAGGCTGGAATAAGATTGCCAATTTAAAGGTTAAATTGAGCTAGTGTGAAAATCTGGTTTAAATAAAAGGAAGCTTTGGCTAAAATTTTTGGTATCAGATTAGTTGTCCACACGTTGGTTTTTATACTCTGTTTTAATGGAACTGGAGTAATAATAAACTGCTTTGTTGATTATTAAAATTGTACTTTATTTCTATTAATAGGAGTTTAAGTTCATGGAGCAGTCACGTTCCCCATCTGTGTCACCTAGTAAGCAGCCTGCCTCAGCAGTTTCAACAACGGTTACATTATTTGAGGAGTACTGTAATGGAGGAAACCCATTTGAAATTCAGGCTGACAGCAAAGATGATGAGACAGAAGATGTGCTGGCTTCCAATGGGGTATGGAATGTTTCAGGGGAAAAAAATCCCCAACAAATCTTGCTCTCTGTAATTGATAACTTATTTTGTGTATCAAAATGTCTTAGTACAGTTAATTACAGTACTGTGTGAAATATCAAGGCACTTTGCTCCTTCAATTAGGTATGCTGCTTTGCTTTTAACAGTGCCAGAAAGCCAGGCATCCTGTTTAAAGTTTAGTTTGTTTTGCAATGCAAAAAAATATTTTTTTTCCCCATTTGAAATCAAGTGTTCTGAAAGCTGGCAAGGCATGTTCCACCTACATTAGTGTTTTCCCAGGGGTTTCCCAGGGCTGCCACAGCCCTTCAGTGATGATAGGCTGTGGGCTTCATGAAACAGGTTAAAGGAATTGTGATCCCATGAATTGCCAGTAGGCTAATGTCCTACACATGCAGAAAAGTACATGTTGTGGCTTCCTGGTCTTTAATTTTGAACAGTGTACCATTTAGTAAGCTTGCATGTTGTCAGAGACTCTCGAGGCTGGCTGAACTATCCTCTTTTACAAAGCTGTGTGCCAATTTAGTGTTCTTTATGAGTGAATCCTTAACATATTTTAAATTGATAAGAAAGCTGGCAAGGCATGTTCCACCTACATTAGTGTTTTCCCAGGGGTTTCCCAGGGCTGCCACAGCCCTTCAGTGATGATAGGCTGTGGGCTTCATGAAACAGGTTAAAGGAATTGTGATCCCATGAATTGCCAGTAGGCTAATGTCCTACACATGCAGAAAAGTACATGTTGTGGCTTCCTGGTCTTTAATTTTGAACAGTGTACCATTTAGTAAGCTTGCATGTTGTCAGAGACTCTCGAGGCTGGCTGAACTATCCTCTTTTACAAAGCTGTGTGCCAATTTAGTGTTCTTTATGAGTGAATCCTTAACATATTTTAAATTGATAAAATCTGGTTTTGTCCCTGGTGAAGAACTATAACAAATTTTGGGTTTCTTTTGGCACCAGAGGTTCTGCGTGGAAAAAGTGAAATACCAATGATATAATTTATTATGCATTTTTCTTGTGAAATATGGGTTAGACTTACAGTTATTCATATAATAAAATAGTTGTTTGTTTGTTGTTTTGTTGGGTTTTTTTTAAGCTTAAATGGAGTGGTATTTGGTTTTTTATGCTAAAAGGTAAAGTTAATTTTCAGTTTGTTAAATGTAATTTAGAATGAATTAAGGAGGATGATGCTTTTGATTTCTCTTCCATCCTTGTGGAAATCAGTTGTGAGTATTTCCTTTATTTGACATGTTTCTAGCAATGCTATATATAAACAGGTTTATTCCATATGATAACCTGAGTTTAATGCATTGGAAAATGGAAACTAACTGCTTTTAATATTGAAATATGTTAGATAAATCTGAAGAGTCATAGTGAGAGTGTGGAGAATGGTGTTCAATGATGCTAAGCAGGAAGCTACTTGGTTTTCATCAGTGTATTTGACCTCCATTTAAACTCCATTGCCGGAAGGGTGAAAGCCTTTTCGTAATATTTATGAGCCAGGGAAGTTTTATGTACATTTACATATACATTTGAGGCACAGGGTAGGTTAATTATTTTGTAGTTGTACAGGACTTCTAAGCTGGCTGGAATTTGAACAAAGGTTCCTTGTCATCCAAGTGAATATACTCTCCAAGTGACTCTCCTACCTTCGCTTTTCACATTTTTCATCTTCTCTATTACCAACTGATCTGAAGTGAATTCAAATTAGTCAAAATCTATGATGTTAAAGTTAGTATGTCAACTGTCAGATTCATATCTCAAGACAAATTGTAGCTAGTAAAATGATAAATTTACTACAAATTGTTATCACTGGATTTTAATTGATTTGGCATGCCATTTATTATATATTAATGCGTAATAAGTGTTCTCCATGCCAATGTTCCAGCCAAATTAGTTAGACCATGACTCTTTTTTCTTAATCAAAGCTGAACTCCACTAATTTTTTGAAATAAATTGAGCTGCTTTCATTATAGCTTTCCTTTGTCTGAAATGTTCATGCAGCAGAAATTTTGACAGTGAATACTAATGAGCACAACATTTCATTTTAGTCTGTGTCTCATACTGCAGTCTTTTTTCTATCTGGGCTGTTTTTGCTTTGGATTTGTTTGTGCTGTGGTCTTCCTGCTTTTATAAGGTACTGCTCTAATAGTGTTAAGCTTTAAAAACCTCCATAGCTTGGAGCTGGGGCAGGACTTGCCATTTGTGGCCGAAAAAATTTCAGGGTGTATTTTGGATGACTGCGAGACTGGCATTACCTTAATATATCTTTCTTGGTTTTCCCCTCTGGAGAGCTATTGTGTTGTTTCCAACCCTGCCATTTCTTAAGGATCCTGGTACCAGACTTGTCTTTGTCATATGTGTCATTATTGACTCCATGGATAGAATGGCTTCAGGGCACGGTACCCTTGATCTCTCTTCAAGTGCAAGTGCATTCTGCAGCCTGATGGATATTCTTAATGCTCTGATAGTTGTGTAGGTATCCAGGAGAAATAGTTGTATCACTGAGCATCAAGTATTTGTTTTCCTTTAATCTTTTCTGGGTTAAGAAATTTATCTTGTGAAAATAATATTATTTCTTTATTTATGAAAGTGTCTAAAGCACCTATACTACAGAGCAACCTAGAACATTTGAAAAAGAAATTGACATGAAATAACTGCTTTTAATTGGAGTGAAAACATTGCAAATTTCAGGTTTTTCTTTTTAATTAAAATCCTAACTGTACACTTTTAGTATGTGTGTATGGCTATAAAAATAATTTATTATCTGTGTTTGTGAATAGTATTTCTCCACGTAACTCATACTCTAGCAACAATAATGCATGTTTACCATGGAAATCCTGTAAAGTATTGTATATGCTGTAGCTTGTGTTGCTCAGTTTTTCTAGGCTGCAGTTGTAAGCCCCAAACCTTCTGTCTTTGAATTGAAAATATTTTTTTAAAAATACTTGAAACACAAATCAACAACTGAACAGAGTGAAGCAGTTTCAAAAAAATCCAAAAATGCAGCTGAGTGTTTGGAGGCAGTAGTTTTCTGTAACTACTTAAGTTGCTCATTTTTCAAAAGATGCAAAAGTTCATTTATCCGTGCATTCACATTTTCCATGAGGTTATTCTGGAATAATTGGTGGCATTTGTGACAAATGAAGCAACAGGTGCATGAAGTTTTGTTCCATTGAAGAGGAATTGTTTCATCAATGATTAGATAAACATTTCAGTGTATCAGGATATTGTGGCTTTTAGTAGATCAAGGATGCTGTATATGTCAAGACAAGACCAAGAACCAACACATGCAAATAAATCCAAGCATGCCCCAAACAACTAATGAAGTTTTCTGAGAAAGTAAAGGGAAAAAGAAAGAAAATACTTCTAATCTCACCCCTGCTGATTGTATTCCACTGATACAGTTGGGTGATATAAATATGTCTATGCACTGAGTTATATAATGTAAGAGTGTTAGAATAATATAGTTTTCTGTGTTTTGGGGTTTTCTTGAAGTTTTTATTTTCCCCTGGGAGGAAAGTTCTATCAGTTTGGGTTGTAGAATTCTGTTCCTTGCTTGCTCTGTAGTTTTTGTTTGTTCCATGTACAGTGCAAAGTTTATATAGATGTACTACCTACAGATAAACACAGTTATTCTTTTAGCTGTTAATGTAGACAGAATAGCATACAGTTGAAAATAATAAGTGGAGAAAAAATAGTGAGAAAAAAAATTATCTGGTAATAGTTAGTCATGAGAAATAATTCCATTTTTGTAGTAGCATTTGTCTGCTTATTGTTTTCTTGAAATGTTTGTGCTTAGTCAAAATCACGTGGTCTGTAATAGGTTAAGTGGTTGAAAGTCTCTCTAGCATAAATGTCTTTTAAAGTGTACTAAAATCAATTTTACAAAGAACTGCAAGGTTTTTTTGTGGGTTTTTAAAATAAATATGTACAATATAAATAAGTATTTTCATGAACCAATAGTTTAGTCCTTCTTGCCTTAATAATTAAGGATTGTGTGGTATTTTGGTTTATTACCACCATATGGATACATTTTGAAGTTTTATTACTGTTTTTTCAGATGGTAAAGTAATACTAGAAGTCAGATACAGGAACAAGAAAGCCAAAAAAAATACCAGTAGCTGGGAAAAAGAGTGATGCAAATATTTACTCTTAATCAACATCTGAGAATAGAAGTTTGTTTAGAAATGCACTTAAAAATGGTTTTGTATAATTTATCTGCTGCGCTGTTAATGAACATTCTCAGCAGCCTTTCAGCCAGCAGTTATCTGTAACCTGATCAAAGAAAAATCCAAGATGTGACCAAAATACTACCTTAAACAAGTGACATTGTTATAAAGAAAATAATGGCAGTTCATTTGTTGTTTTTTTTAAACAGTATGAATCAGATGAACAAGAAAAAAGTGCATATCAAGAGTATGATAGTGACAGTGACGTCCCTGAAGAGTTGAAAAGAGATTATGTGGATGAGCAAACAGGAGACATCCCTGTGAAAAGGTGAGTAGACTGTGGGAGTCCTTGGTCTCATTTGTGTGGTTTTCATCTCAGTATTCTAATACATTCATTTTCTGTTCAATTTATACAACAATGGAATAATAATTAATGTACCTGCACTTAGATCTCTGGAAGGGGGAGTAACGTTAAACTACTTGTCATTACTGCAGAAAGGAAAATTGGAAAGAAGGGTTTTGGAGGGGGATAAAGGCACTGAAGCAAGGAGTGGAAAACTGGTTAGCAAGCATTAGATGTTAACTGAAGGTTCTTCTACACCCACTGTTGTGCATATGTATAATTTCTGTTGTGTCAAAAGCAGTTATTTGCAGACAAATGGTTTGAGGCTTGGGCTTTTGCACAACAAAAACAAACTTACAGATGAGAAAAAAATAGCTTGGAGATGGTAATTTGGAATTTTAAAATACCTTTTCCTTTAAGAATATATACACATATACATATATGCACAGACATGAATACACATATAATATTTTAATTAATATATAGAAATATTTATATTAATATAAACAAAAGCTATTTCTGTAGCATTTAAAAGGATCTGAAGTACAATTTGTGTCTAGGACACTTTATTACTTAGATGTCCTTTCAGACTTTGTGAAGCAGGCTAACATAATTTGTATGTGGAGAATTGCAGGAGAACTAGAAAGCAATCAGCTTGGGTCGAAGCAGATAAATAGTTTTTACACAATAACTTTAAGGTAAAATATTGTTAGCATGATTTCGTAAGATATATCAGATAAACTACTACTTTTCAAAGAACTGTTAGAGATATTAATAAAAAGTACATAATTAGACCAAATCACAATAACTGTCTGTAGCTTTGTGCTGTGAAATTGGAGAATTCAGAATTATTGAAAGAACAGTATTTTGAGGTAAGACAGCTGGCAGAAGGTTTCTCAAGTTGGAAGGAAACCAGAAGGATTAAAGAGTTCAACTCCCTGCTTCTCACAAGACTACTACTTATGAAAATGTTAATGTATTTTTAGTTTCATCTTACTCAAAATTGTTTCAGTTTCTTGATGGTCATGTTCAGCTGTAGTTTACTAGTCTGTCCCTCTTTTGTTGTGACTTGCATTGTTTCAATTTTCTTTACTTGATAAGCTATGAACTTGCATCACAGTGGTTAAAATCATTGCTTATGCCAGACAGAGGTCTGCAAAACTCAAGCCTTGGACTGCAAGTCAAAAACTCCTATCTCTAGCACAATTTTATGTAAATTAGGCCAGATCTCTAACTTTAAATGTTAGAATTCTAACCCAGTTATGCTTTGGCATAAAGAAGATGATGCGCTGGAAGACATAATGTCATGAGAAAGAAGCCAGAGGTAAGGATTTATTTTCTACAAACTTGTATTTGTCTGTGAATATAATAGTCACATTTATTGTATTTTGTTTTGTTTTCTTTAAAGTGTTTCTCGAGAAACTCTGAAGAGCAGAAAGAAATCAGATTATAACCTCTATAAAGTGAACACACCCATCCTAACGAACACTACACTGAATGTAATACGGCTTGTTGGTATGTAGAGTGATTCTAGTTTTTAATGTGTTTTTTTTATTTTAATGCAAAGCTATGGATTATAGAAAAAATGTTAGATGAATTTTAAGGCTTTTAAAGATAGACCTAGTTGCTCTCTATTTCTGCTCTTTGAAAATGTTAATAAAATAGAAATAAAGTACTAAACATTAATAATTTTTAATTAAATAGACAAATTTTGTTGTATCTTGTGAGTTATTTTTATTTTGAAAATTATTCTTCATTCATATATTGAGTTTAAGCAATGATGGTGGATTATTTCTCTAAGATATTAAATGCATAAACAGAATGTAAATAGAAAGATAATAGGTTAATATTTTATGTCGCTAATGTGTTTTTGTGGAATAAATGCTTCATTTTAAATTAGTAGAGTTACCAAAGTAAGAACTAAACATTTGGGGGTTTTTTGCCCTTTCATTACTCAAATGCTCATGCACAGAATATCCATCTTTACTACATGGTAGACAACTAGAAGAAAGTGCCCTCCCATACTGGTGCTTTCAGTAAATGGAATGCATCCTAGTAATCCCCAGGGAGTTTAGGGAATCTTTATCCTTAGAGGTGATCAAGATGCAGCTGGAAAAGCCCCATGACCAACTTCATATTTTTAGATCTGCTCTGAGCAGGAGGTTGCACTGTATGGCCTCTGGAGGTTCTTCCTAGCCAAAAGTTTTCCAGGAAACACTCCCCTGTAGTTCTAGGTGTAATGTGATTTATTTTTCTTTTTTTTGTAAATTGTTGCTTCCATTTGATTATCTAGATAGTACAGTAGCAATTTTGTGCTACTGACTTTGTCTTCTCCTTTATTAAACCCTTACTTATAAATCCTCTAGGTTCATTGTTTACTGTACAATATTGCTAAATTAATACTTTGACTAAATCTTAATTTTGCCTCTTTCTGCTGCTGTCACTTCCATACTTTATTCAAAAGTTGGAAGTCCGACATCCTACAAATTAAAGCAGTGAATCAATAGTTGCTTTCCCTCTTGCTGAATATGTTTTTAATTGCTGTTTTTCAGTTGCAGCAGTTACTACACTGATTACCAGATTTCAGGGCCATTTTTTCTTATGTCCTGATTCCTTCGCTCATGTAGCTTGACTCTTTTCAGTTCTTTTCTAGCTCATTCTCAGTGTAGCAGAAAGTGACCAGTTCAGTTCTATTAGTCACCCTGTTCCTTTATTAATTTTTTCCACTGTCAGTATCGTTGTCCCTAGTGTAAACCATGCCAAACTATTCTTTCTTACTTTTGGACTGTCTTGATTGTCTGTGATTTCTGTCCTGTCATGTCCCCCTGGTTTGGTTTGCTTTTGTTAGTCTTCTATAATTAGAAAACACCTGATTTTTACTATGTTTGGAAACATTAGTTTTGGAAAGACTTCTGGTACTTCTAGCTCTTCAGCTTCATGAACAAATAGGTTTGTTTTTCCCCTTTGTCCTTGTCCTAGTAATTCTTTCCTTCTAGTTTCTTTGCAGGTTCTCGTATTTCTAATACGCAATGACCCTGCCTCATGTTCTTCTTAATTTGTTTCTTTTTTAAGGACTACCTACTATTTGATATCATAAATGAAAAAAGAGGTTTTTTTGGACCGTGTTTCTGTAAAGATGTAAACTGCATATGACAACTCTGCCACAGATGTTGAAAATGCCATCATCTTTTGTCATTACTTTCGGCCTTAATATACAAATATTTCATTTGATTCCTCTAGACAGGGGCGTCAGACACATTTCTTTAATTTAGGGTTAATTGCTACAGAAAGAAGAAATAAATAAGATCCCACCTTTTATCCAGTCTATCTGATTTATTAGTTTTTCTTCCCTTCTTGTCTCCCTCTTGTCTCTTGAATCATCCCTATAAAACATGAAGATAAGCATGCTGCTGCTCGGCAGATTTGGCTAGGCACGACATCTAGTCATAGGACATCTAGTTTTGATCCAGTCCCTTGGATCATCTTCCTGCAGACAGGAATGCTGTGGAGCATGCCTGTCTTTTAACAGCTGCCCCTGCTAATGCCACAGAAGGCTCTAGTTTCTCTTGCACTCCTTCAGATGTTTGGCTAGGACTTGTCATGGAACTTAAAACTAATTTCAGGGAGTATAGTTGAGATGGTTGTCTATGATACCTTCCTTATCAATGGAGAACTGTAGGAAACCCCAGATGATAGTTTGTTAACTGTCCAGGATGTCTGCCTGCATGTCATGGCATAGATACCATAGCACTTCTCTTCTGGAGCTACTTACCCTCTGCCCAGGAGATCTATGCAACCTGCGTGAGCTAAGGTCTAGCTTTTAGATTAAGTTGAACAAAGTGTATTGCATGAGCAAGACCAGCAATGTCATGCCTCAAAAAAACAAAGTGTATTGCATGAGCAAGACCAGCAATGTCATGCCTCAAAAATAAACAGGGGTCTAATGTAGTATGAGGCACAATATAGATATGTCTTATCTGCAGAAAGCCTGTACTTTTAAGAAGTTCCGTATCTTGAAAACAAGGCTCTATTTTGAGAGATGTTTCTTTAGTAGCAGTAATGTGAGAGCTTAAGCAGCTTTTATCCCTGCTATGTTTTGTCACTGATATTTCTACCTCCTGTATGTTGCATCAGCATGACTTCTGGCAGATCTAGATCAGCTCCCTGACCCTAGTAAAAAATCATAAAGGAAAACAATTTAAAAAGGGGAGCCTTGAGTGAGATGATGGGGATTTAAATTGCTCAATCAAGAGAAGCAGTTGCCTTGCTTTATAGGAAGGGATGTTATGCAAGCAGTAGTACTCACTGAATGGGGGTAACAGTGCTCATAACCCGTTTTGAACTATTTATATATGTGCTGTATACTTTGTATGGCAGTGAGATGAATAAAACAAAGTGTAGCTTATTGTATGTAAACTGTGTTGATTTAAAATGTAATAGAAGAATAAATGCATGTTAAATCAGTATGGAATATTTTGGCCTAGGTTCTATATATCAACAAGAATAATTAATGACTATGCCATCCTAAATATTGCTTGGGTGATTTCTTATTTTAATTAATATGATTATGATTTAAGAAATACCCATTAAGTTAATTATTAGGTTGGGCTCATATAATTCCTTTACTTTGCCTCATTTTTGCTTTTGTTTTGAAAGTTTTTTTGGGAAGAAACGTAGATTTTTCTTGGTTTAAAGTCCATTAAATTTTAAGACAATAATAGTGGTGGTAACAAATCTTACAGCAGAAATCTTGTAGCTGAAGTGATTAGTCACATAGCATAAAGCTCATGGGACTTAAACCCCAAATCATACAGTCTTTCAAAGTTACTGAATTACATGGGCTTTTCAATTTATCCTTCAAAGTAGTATTTTAGCTCCTAATGTATGTTGTAGGAAACCTCATGCTTGGAATTGTGAGGCTGCCTAGGAAATTATTTTACTAATGACCATAAATATACTAAAACTCAAATATATATTATTCACGAGGTTGTCCATTCAGCTTTTTGGTTTTAGTGATCAGTTTTATGCAGATTAGTCTGATAGATAGGGCTCTCTCTGCACACTGTCTTAAGCACGAAAGAAGTGTTGGAAGTAATACTTCAGAAGAAACCTGGCAAGCGTTCAGCAATTTTAGTTGTTAACGGAGCCTCTAGACAAGCTACTCCAAGTTGTTGAAACTGTAAGCAGTGTTTTCAAGTTTTCCTGAAAGTTTTTAGCACAACATGAGTTAAGGCTCTTAGTGCTGTTTGCACATGTTCTCATACACCCCTTTAAAGCCAAAATAGGAACTTTTGTGCAACTAGGTAACAATGTATAGAAGTTAAAAGTTGGCATCCTGTTACAGCAACTAGGAGGACGTGTTCTGGGAACATTTGTTTGTGTCAAGATGCTGAGTGATGTAGTAATAGAAAAATGTTCTTGGCATCAGAATATTTTTATAGGGACAATACTTGGGCAGTGTACAGTATATCACCCTTTGGAAAAGCATATGATACTACCCAAGAGATTACCTTGAATATTCATGCCAACTTCACAGATACTTGGAAATCTAACTGTCCAGAATATGACACATCACCCTTAAACAGTGTATGGGTTGCAGGCGAGTTTAAAAATGTGTGTGATACAGAGCAAGTGGAAAAAAACAGCCTGTGGCAATACAGAATATTCAGATAACATGTATGAAGGCGACAGTTTCTTTGATTAGGGTACCATTATTTTCCAAACATCTGAAAATTTCCACACTGGGCTGTGCTAGAATCAGCTGCATTTGGGTTTCCCTTTTAGAAGACAAATACAAATTTTTAAGTCTGCTTTTCAGTTTGTTAATTGCTGTAGATCAAAACATTGGTAATTAAGCACAGAATTAATAACTGGGCTAAACTGGCAAATGTAAAGTATTGCAGCCTGTGTCAAATCTCCAAAAATAACAAACCAGATGCTTGTGTGTGTTAGCAGCCTGGGACACAGATGCGTATTATTCAAGCAGAGTCTAAGCTGGATTGAAACCTGGAAAGTAGCAGGGTCAGGTTGTTGCTTGATTCTTACCAAGCAGCTGTATCATCTTACCATGTATGTAGCTGTATCATGTATTTGTCAAATTAATGTTATCATTACTAACCTACACAAGTAATTGCTTTAAAACATTCAAGTAACTCCCCCTGATACTAACAGCTAATTCTGTTTCTTTGTTATTCAGTTTCTTTGCGTAAAACAACATTTTATGTATTGATCAGTAAACTACTGTACACAGCATTATCTTGAAGAACAGTGTTGCTGACTACAGGAAAAGTAAATTATTTTAGCACCCTCATGTATTTTTTTCCAACTTCCAAGATCAAAACCTGCCTGGAATATCACAGATTGTTAAATTATCTGCTATATCCTACATGCTGGATGGACAGCATTTACATTTTGTTCAGAAGTTGCTTCTGTTTTTATAATAACCTAAAGCTTATTATATATTCTTTATGTTTTTAAGATGCTAATAAGAAAAGAAAGCTGTATTTAGTTCTTGAGCCAGCCAGCGGGAAATATAAGGTTCCTGCAACACTGGGGTTTTAATTGAATGCAATTTAGTACAATTCTATGAAAGGAGCCATGCCCTTTGCTGGAAAGCAAAATAACTAAAGTGTATATGCCCTGTGAACTAGACCTGTAGGGAAAAAATTCTGAGTCCAAATCTTATGATCAGTTTGACTCGGCTAACATGTACATGAGGATCTGGAGGTTTTTTAAGAAAAAAAAATAAATAAAAGAATTTTGCCAACTCAAATGTGCAACAACAAAGAGCAGGAAGGAAGAGAAGGAATTATTCTCCTCAGATGTGCCGGGTATCTTGAAACTGTTCAGGTTTCTTACCCAAGGATAAAGAACACAGGAAATGCTGTGTTGCTGATGTGAAACACATTAGTCCTAGAGTTATTGGATGAAATCCAGTCGTGGGCATGTCATTTTTACATTATGTTTTCCCGTTGCTTTAAAAATATCTGTATGTGCCTCTGTAAACACACACTAATGCAGAAAATCTTTAGTGGCTGTCTATCATTTCCTAGAGACTAATCTAGAGGATTATTGTTTTTTGGCTAACTGAATCTAAAACTTGTAGAGGATCCAGAAAGTTGTTTATTTTGAATTTGGTACTGGAAGGCTTAATGGTTCAAGATGGGTTTTTGATATGGGTTAACATCTACATTTGGAGAAGTCTTGAGGCATTTGTGTTGTCTTCATATTTAGCTTTGTTTTTAAGCATCACAGTCTCTAAAATATTACTACATTTTTCTTAATCAATAATCAAGGCTAGATAGTAACCTTTGTAAAGCTATTTTTGGTTTATGAAACTCAGTGCTGTCTTTGTAGCACTTAAGGTGAGGAAACTGATCTTCTGTATTTAATTTTTAAGGGAAATACATGCAGATGATGAATATTCTGAAACCAATTGCATTTGATGTGATTCACTTCATGTCCCAGCTCTTCGATTACTATCTGTATGCAGTCTATACCTTTTTTGGCCGAAATGACACGGTAGGTGGAAACATAATTAATTTCCAATTATCACTGTACTCATAGAATAAGAACAGAGAGGAGATCTCTTTCCTTAAAATACTACCTAATATGTAATCCTCAGAAAAATTAGTGACAACAGAATGAATTTGAATGGAGGAGTAAGAAAAGGCTGATTAGATCAGCAATAAGAGGAATAAGCACTGGGAGCATCATTATCACTGGGACATGAAGCCTTTTGTGATTTAAGTAGATTCTGTACTCTTTTTCCACCAGTATTTTGAAAGGGAGATAAGACAACGTGAAATGCCTGAAAGTAGGGAGCAAAGGAGCAGTCTGTGGAAGGAGGGTGGTGCTTTGGAGCCTAGAGAGTATGAGTTGATTTAATTTTCATATATGTATTTCTCTAACCTTAGAGAAGGATAGCCAAGGAAAAGAGGGGAAGGGGGCTGTGAAGAAACAGTAGCTCAGGTTTAAGAGGTTTCAAATACTTTATTTCAAATCTAGGATTTGTCTCAATCTACTTGCATTAATGAAAACAGGTCTCTTTTGAGTGATCTTGTAGTTGAAATAAATGCTTGTTGGCAATGTCTGAACATAAGATAGGACAACTTTCAACAGAATTGTCTTAAAGCATTTATGAAAAGCTGCATATAAACCAATTTTCTCCTCTCTTGGCCCCTAAATTACTCCACAAGTAATAATATCATGGGGTTCCAAATTCATCATCATCTATTGGCAAATTGTATTGGATTTCAGACTTAACATGTGGTTCTAAATGGTTTTGTGCTGTTCTCTTTGGCAGGATAAATGTATGTATAATCATCTGCTTGTGTTTCGAAGATGGGTGGTGGGTTTTTTGTTTATTTTGTTAACATAGTTTATTTCCATTGGCTTAATCATCTGCTCTGGTATTCATGTTGTGTTGGATTTATTTTTATCTTTTTGCATCTCCCATTTTGTGTTTTAAAGCTCACACTGACTTCCTCACTGCCTAACAAAGAACAGCACAGTGATAGGCAGGTAAACATTATTGCAGATGAGTGGTAAAATTGTGATGTTTTTGTAGTCTGGCAAATTTTGTTTTGACAGATTATTTTCCATGGGAAATAGAATGCTTACAAAAAGTCTATGAATACAATAAACCCTCTTGTAGTGCTATCCTCACTCCTCATAATGTTTATAAACATTTAGGAAGTAGAGATGGGTGATGGTATGTGATTTAGACCACTGAAAGAGTTTATATTTTATTTTTATTTACAAAACAGCATCAAATGGAATTCTTAAAAGTGTGCTGACAACACATCTTCCTTATGTTGTTGAAATTCTTTGTAAATTTTGTGCTTATGTTGTACGTGTGAGTTAGTACATACATAAGGAGAGTGACTAATTGTACAGAGTTCATTCCAGTTCAATGAAAACCAAGGATTTAAATATACATGCTGAATTTTATGTCCAGTCATGATGCAAAGTCACTGCTATTTCCAGACCTCTTTAGAATGATTACCAAGTGTAGTCAGTATTTGGCTTTCTTCACTGCCAAAAGTCACACACCATTGCAACCATAATTGCTCTTTCAAAACCTTTTTAATTTGTGTAAGGCTGTCCTTCCTCCTTATCTCAAGTTATGGAGCAACCTAACATGAAATTAAAAGGAATTTCCTTTATTTAGGATCTACTCATTAAAGTCGTAGACATGCATTAACATGTCACAGAATAGTCTTCCTTAGCAGATTAAGTGTGAGGTGAGTTTTAATTTTCTTGACAAAGGCACAATAATTTGTAAACCAATGGCCACATCTTTTTTTTAAGTATGAGAATTTATGTAGAATTGTTGATGAGTAGAATTATTCTGTAAATTTCTAAAGCTCTGCTTACTACCCTTACAAAGTCATAAATTGGTGGAATTTAAAATGTACCGTTGTGCAGGATGTACAGAAATAGGAAAAAAAACTTCCACAAAGCAAAGCAGTGATACTGATCAGTGACATGTTCTGTGTGAAGTCATGGGGTTCTGTCCTTGTGTAAAAATGCTGAGCAACAATCTTTTGGGGTTTGTTTGTTTTTCTTTGTTTGTTTGTTGTGGGTTTTTTCAGCCTCCTACCTATGGATGCTCAATTCTGACTTGAGGCTGTAGTTGGCTGCCTGAAAAATCTGGAGTTCTTGACATGTAATGTTTTACAGACACTGAAGTTTGTTTTTACATTCCTTTTCATTCAGTTATGTTTCAAATGTGAAATTGCCATTTTTTAGAAGGAAATATGCCATTATAAAATAAGTGAAAGTTGTTGCTAACTATTGGAAGTTTATAACTGATAGGCAGAAAGTAAAGTTAGTGGCAGACTGTGTGATGTGTAGTTTTGATGGTGCAAGTGCAAATTTCTTAAAATGAAATTTAATGGCTGAAACTTGCAAAATTATTTTTTTCCCTTAAGAAGGGTGTTTTTCCTGTTTGTTTTTACCTTAACAGAGAGAATAGCCACTATTGAAATTGCAGTCCTTATGGCCATCTCTTGAAAAAATTAATATATGACAATAAGGAGGAAAAAAAAAAGAAATAGATCATTTTGTGTTTCTTAAAGGGGAAAAAGTAAAATCAAAGGCTGTTTAGAACTGGTATTTCTGCAGGAAAATATGTGAAGAAAAATACAAATTATTTTTTGTAAAAAACAAACGAACAACAAAGGCATGAACCCTTTTATCAATCTTGGACATTAGGATTGTGATTTAGGTCTCCTAGGTTAGGTTCTAGATTTCAGGAGAGTGTACTTCTACTGGGAATTCAGCTCAGATGTAAATTTGCCTTGAATGTATAGGAGGATTGGGGCAGATGGACATCATAAGACAGAAACACTAGATGCAGCAAATAGGGATCTAGATTATACTTTTTTAAATTTAAAAGAAGCAGATGGAATGACATGAACACTTTCTTCCCTGCTTTAATGCATTGAAAGGAAGCCCAGTACTACAGTGTACAACAGTGCTCTAAATATTGTTCAGTAAATTGCCATTTGGTATGAATCACATACCAGAACAATAGTAAAATACTTCCAGATTCTTGATGTTATTGTATGTTTCTTAGCTGCCCTGTTTCAACTTCCTTTGCTGTATTAGTTTGTTCTTTGTTGGTTTTTTTAAACTAGAAGTAGAAAACAAGTAGCTACATTAATTATGCATGTCAAATCACTCTCAGCTGGTGTAATTAATAGCATTGCTTAGGAAAACAGTGTAGATTTATTGATTTATACCAGCTGAACATCTCCCCTGTAATACTTCTGAGCCATGAACATGAAGATGGCACATTTCTCAGGTAGATCTTTATAAGCATTAATGACTGTTTTATAAAGATCAATGGATATAATTTTACATATGCAAGTTAGAACTGTAATAAAGAATCATAACAAATGTTATAGCTTGAGAGAAGTCAAGACCATTTGGCTTGGGTGTAGTGTGTGTTCAAGTCTCAGTGGGGGCATCGTAGTGCACCACTGGGGGCTCATCACCCAAATGAGAAAATATATAGTCCTGAACCCAGATACAGTGTTACAACAGTAAAGGATACTGGTTGTTTGCTGGTATGAAGGGTAAGCTGTCATCTTCATGAAAGGTATTTGGGTCATTCTTCACACCCGTGCAGTGCTGAGTGCTGTGATCTCTGTTGATTTTCATTTTGTATGGTTGCATTTATGTGCTAGAACTTTAATGTAGGTAAATTGTAGCTGCTGTTTACAAACTTAAGTTTTGCTGTATCACTGTAAAGTTTAAACCAATGGGTTTTCCTTTCCCAACTTAAACATAATGTGTTCCTTCCAGTTCGAATCAACAGGACTGGGCCTCAGTAGCAGCAGATTACGCACCACACTGAACAGAATCCAGGAGAGTCTAATTGATCTGGTGAGTGCCTGTATTATGTTAATGCTCAGTGAAATAGAGGTCTGTGTAGGAAATTTAGGAATTGTATTTCATTGTGGCTTTCTGATTTTTCTCTCTCACATTGACACTGACACATAGTCAGTGTCTAGAATGACAAAGGCTCAGTTTCATGGCATATCATGATGAAGGCATCATTATTGTATGAAATTACTTGTTTCTACTATGGAACAAAACTAGTTTAACAGCTTTTGCTTGATGTAACAACATTATGTATTGTAGTCTTACAAGGTATTACAGTTTATGTAATAAAGAGACATTCCAGTATTATTGTTATTGAATGAGATGCTTTATAAAAAAAGCACCCAAAACCCACAAGAGACTCCTTTTTCTTCAGTAAAAGAATAACAAAATAGTAAGCCATACTGAAGATAATTCACCTTACAAGATAGCTGAAGTAATATACCTAATCCTTAAGTAATTCCTGAATTATGGGCATCTTTCCTTGATGTATGGTGTAGATTATATCCTATTTGTGACTTCATGAGTTATTTTCAAAATGTGAAAAGTAAAGATGGTGCTTGTGTCACACTGGTAGCATATTACTCTCCTTCACATCATATTACAAAGGATAAATGGGAGACTTCAGGTAGATTTTGTTGATTTAACCAAGCAGCAAGTGTTTGTAAAGAAATACTTTTAAGAACTATGCAAAAATGGAAAATTGTATCTCTTTTTTCCTGCCTAAATATAAAGCTCTTGAAACATTTTAAAGAAATTTCAAAAGAGTATCATAAATGGCTTGTGTAGTAATCAATACCATGGACACTGCAGGAAGAATTTCCTTTCTAAGGCCTCTTCCTTAGAAAGAATTAGAAAGCAGATGCTCTGCTGTGACTTTCACAATTATTTGTCTCTCCAAGGAATTGTACTTGATGCCTTTTAAATTCTTTGAGTATTGAATCCTAAACAGTTCTTTCAGAGAAGCCTCCTTAAGGGTTTTGCGGCCATTTCTCATAGCATCAGTAGAGGGAGCATAAGATACCTGAAAACCCTAGGCCTCTACAAAACAGAAGTCTAAACATTGATATTCACTGTAGTCAGAAAGAAAAAATAATTCTAGGAAGATATTTCAAACAAATCAGTTATGGATTATGGAAAAAGGGAAATTTATGGGAATAATTTTGTGAGCTTACTTTGTAGTCACAGTTCCTGACAGTGCTTGTCAGTCTTGTATTTTTTTATCAGTCAAAATAATTTTTAAAAAATTATTTCTAGGGGTACACTGGAAAAATAACAGGAATTCTTTTTCTACCTCAGTAATTTAACAATTATGTTAAAGATAATGTTAGTGTCAATTGAAATTAATATGTGTCTTCCATGAAAAATTTTGAAAGGAGGAAGAAATCTAACGTAAAGGTATTCCATGAGATTTATTAATACATGTTATGAACTTCTGCTGTTACTATTGTGTATGGATATTAAATCAAAACAATTCTAAAGCTGATGTCTTCTACAAAAAGTATTAGGCCAGAAGAAGCTAATTTTTTAAAGATTAATGGTTATTAGTGTGATTGGCAGAACTTTGTATGCTGGAAACAAGTTGTAGGGTTTTCTGCTTTTTGTTTAAAGGTAGTGAAAGTGGATTATTATAATTAATTGTGAACCATCTCCACCATAAATGGCAGATAATCAGTTATTTTGGTCATAAGTTCTGTTGGTTAGCTGAAACAAATACATGTTTTTGAGCTCACAATGAGATTAGGCCCCTTAAAAATATCTCTTCAAATTGCATGTCAAACTTTTTACAGATAACTACCTAGGTAGTTTATACTTCTCATTTAGGTAATTAGTTTATAGTCTTTTCTTCCTAGGAAGATTTAACAGAGGTTTGGCACTTAGTTCAGTCAAACTATTAAAATTAAATTGTTCTCTTGCTACAGAAGACATTTTTTGGAGGAAGTATTTGAAGGAGGGACATGTTCCTTGCACAGAAACATTTGTGGGTTTTTTTCTCCTTATTAATTAAGGAATTTCTTCTTGAGAATAAACAAGTAAATGCTAAAATGAAACACGTAATGATTAATCAAACAATATCATCCTCACATTTATTTGATATCTGTTACTTGCTAATACATGCCTTTCTGTTGTAAAAACAAGTAAACGTGTTCCAGATTAAATTTATTTCAAAGATAGATATCACATAAAGATCCTTCCCCATGCACACACTATAGCTCATGGTATTGCTAATAGCAATCCTTACACAGGTAAAAGCAGTCATAAGCTTGCTTTTGCACTTCTGTATCCTGATATTTTCAGGCCTTTATAGCAAAGCAGCTTTTATAAATAATTGCTAGTTTTGTATGCAAGTCATGTGTAGCATTAGAAAACTCAGTTCTTTTCATTATGAGGGAGTTTAGTCTAAGACCAGGGAAAACTGAGTAGGTAAGACCTGCTGTAAGGTGTCTGCATGGAGTGCTGGTTAACCTGTACTGTGGGTTTTTTTCCTATTTGACAAGGAAAGAAAAAAGTATCTTGTAGTTTGCATCAGTTCTGTGTGTACCTTGAAATTATTTTAGCAAACCTGTATCTTTCCCAGTTTGCTTACAAGGATGTTATGTAGGCTGTAATATGTCTTAGGTACATCACAATGCTTCTCTATCAGCAAGACCTGCTATTCTGATGCAGAGGAAAGCTAAGCAAGTTTGTTCTGCTTTGGTGCCAGGTGCTGCAATATGTTCTCAGTGTAACATGACATTCCTTGAAGTTAGAGTTAGGCTGGCTGTTATTTAATTTCCTGGCTTCTACTCTTGTCTTCCTTCTTCTCCTCCTCTTCGTCTTGAGATAGACATTGCTTCAGCCCCCTTCAATTTTACTGGACTTTATCTGTTCAACACGGTTACTCAAAAGTGAATCTCTGACAACAGAGACTGTCTGGCAGATTATTTTAAATTATTGGAAGGGTTAACTTTAACAAGTCCAGTCCATTGCAAAACATCTGATTTCTCTAAATAGTCTAGCGTTTTTTCTAGTTCCAGCTTGAATGTTTTGCCCCTTTTTTACAGCTTTCAATCATTTGATCATTTCTGTTAGTGAGGGCTGGAGAAAAACCCACATGCATCATTAATACCATTTCAGAATGATCATAGAATCACAGAAACATTTAGTTTGGAAAAGACCTTTAAGATTATCAGGTCTAACCTTTGACTCTACCATGTTTACTCCTAAACCATATTGCTGAGCTCCACATCTATATGACTTTTAAACACATCCAGGAATGGTGACTCAATTACTTCTCTGGGCAACCTGTTCCAATGCCTGACAACCCTTTCAGAGAGTTTTTGTTTCCTAATGTGCAGTCTAAACCTCCCCTGGTGTCCTATCACTGGTCTCCTATCCTCCTTGTTGTCCTATCACTATTTGCTTGTAAGAAGAGACCAGCACCTACCTCTGTATAATGTCCTTTCAGGTAACAGTAGAGAGCAATAAGGTCTCCCCTCAGCCTTCTTTAGACTAAACAGCCCCAATTCCCTCAGCCACTCTTGATAAGACCTGAACAAAGTACTTGACCTGGGGTCTCACCAATACTGAGTACAGGGTGAGGATCACTTCCCTGGACCTGCTTGCAACACTACTTCTAATACAAGCCAGGATGCTATTGGCCTTCATGGCCACCTGGGCACACTGCTGGCTCATGTTCAACCGCTTGCCGATCAGGTCCCTCTCTGCTGGGCAGCTCTCCATCCATTCTTCCCTCAGTCTGCAGCATTGCATGGGGTTGTTGTGGCCCAGGTGCAGGACCCAACACTTGGCCTTGTTGAAGCTCATACAACTGGCTTCAGCCCATTGATCCAGTCTGTTTAAGTTCCTCTGTAAAGCCTCCCTGCCCTCAAACAGATCAACACTCCCACCCAAGTTGGTGTCATCTTTAAACTTACTGAGGGTACATTCTATCTCCTCATCAAAGTAATTGATAAAGATGTTAAACAGAAATGGTCTCAACACTGACCCCTGAGGAACACTACTTGTGACTGGCCACCAGCTGGATTTAGCTCTGTTCACCACCACCACCACTCTCTGGTGTGCACTCCATTGTTTTACCCAGCAGAGCATTTGCCCATCCTGGCCATGCGCAGCCAGTTTTTTCTTTAGAATGCTGTAGTAAACAGTGTCAAAGGCCTTATGGAAGTCCAGGTTGACAACATCTGCAGCCTTTGCCTCATCCACCAGGCGGGTCATCTTGTCACAGAAAGAGATGAGGTTCATCAAGCAGGACCTTCCTTTTATAAACCTGTGCTGACTGGACCTGATCACCTGATTGTTCTGTATATGGTGCTTAATGGCACTCAAGATGGTCTGCTCCATGACCTTACCTGGCACTGAGATCAGACAGGTCTGTAGGTCCCTGGATCCTCCTTTTGGCCTTTCTTGTCGATGGATACCACATTTGCTACTCTCCAGTCCACTGGGACCTTCCCAGTTAGCCAGGACTTCTGGCAGATGATGGAAAGAGGCTTGGAGAGTGCATCTGCCAGCTCCTTCAGTACTCTTGAGAGCAACCCATCTGGCCCCATAGACTTGTGTATGTTTAAGTGTTGCAGCAGATCCCTGACCATTTCCTTTTTGATTGAGAAGTTAGATCCTGTCCCTTCTCCCTGTCCTCCAGCTCAGGGGACTGGGTGTCCATGGAACAACTAGTTCTACTGGTAAAGACTGAGGCAAAGGAGGCATTAAGCACATCAGCCTTTTCCTCATCCTTTGTCATTTGTCATCCTCATTTTTTGTTGTCCTTAGTTCCCCCACATCCAATGAAGGATGGAGGTTTTCCCTAGTCCTCCTTTTGTTGTTGATGTATTTATAGAAACACTTTCGGTTGTCTTTAATAGCTGTAGGTAGCTTGAGTTCTAGTTGGGCTTTGGCTTTCCTAATTTTTTCCCAGCATAGCCTCACTACATCTTTGTAGTCCTCCTGAGAGCTCTGCCCTCTCTTCCAAAGGCCATAAACTCTTCTTTCGTTCCTGAGTTCCAGCCAAAGCTCTCTATTCAGCCAGTCCAGTCTTCTTCCTCACCTACTCATCTTTCAGCACATGGGGACAGCTCGCTCCTGCACCTTTAGGACTTCTTTTTTGAAGTATATGCAGCCTTTCTGGACCCCTTTATCCTTCAGGGCTGCCTTCCAAGGGATTTTGTTGATCAGTTCCCTCACCAGGCCAAAGTCTGCCTTCTGTCTGTGGCAGCAGTTCTGCTGACTCCCCCTCCTTCACAAAGATTTGAAAACACTATCATTTCATGATCACTATGCCTCAGATGGCCTGCAACCGTTACATTCCCCGACAAGTTCTTCTCTGTTCGCAAGGAGCAGGTCCAGGAGGGCACCTTCCCTGGTTGGTTCCCTCACGAGTTGTGTCAGGAAGTTACCTTCCACACACTCCAGGAACCTCCAGGCATGTTCTCTCTGCTGTATTTGTACTTCCAGCAGACAGGCTTCGCCTGCCTTGGCAACGGTCCCATGCTAAGGGATCTTGTGCTTTTCTTGGGGATTGGCCCACTGGCTGTTTCCTTGGGCTTCCTTTCTGCTATGAAACATGGTTTTGCAATGCCTGCTTTGTAGAACAAGTCAGGACAATGAGACACTTATACTGTGTTTGGCCAATATATTTGAACCAGAGGTGACTCCCTGATTGAACCTAAGCATTTTTGATCTAGCCAGTTGTTTCATGCATATTTTGTGTCTTCAGGTGCAACATGGTTTTGGCATTTAAAAGGTTCACCTTCATGGGTAGCAGGCAGGTAGAGAAAAAGTTGTTTGAAAGGTATCTCAATGCTGAAGAAACAGGCAACTTTGAAGCATGATGAATACAAAATTAAGTCTTTAATATTTGATTTTTACATAATTTGTAATTAGTCTCTGAAAGAAACAAAGATGCTTAAATATTTACTACTAATACTCTTCCCCCAGCTGTGGGGCTTGCTGTCTCTCCTAAGAATAGAGAATTGACTGGTAGACTCTGGCTTTGTTTGGTTTTTTTAATCACATGTAAACATTTCAAAGCTTCTCATTTTTTTGTTTTGTTTTTTTTGTTTGGTTGGTTGGCTTTGTTGTGGTTTTTTTTTGAGAATTACATGAAGTGAAAAAGAAAACAAGGCAGATAAAGAGTGGATTTTGACAGTTGATCAGTGGTGTCTTGGACTCAGTTAATATTTTTAAAGAATTGACCATTATGCCTAGGTCATTAGATGTTGCCTGTGTGCACTGTACTTGTGGCCATGCTAGGAAGGTATCTTCAGAGCTGCCTGGAAGCAGTTACATGAGTTTTAGCACTTATCCAGGACTTCTGTCTTGCTTAACCATTTTAAAAGACTGGGCTAAATGCAAACTTCACAGTATTATGGAATGTTTAGCCAGCTTCATTGCAGTTTTCTCTGGCTGAATGTGAACACATATCAGAGCAAAAAAAATTAATTTTTCAGATAACGTAGTGATGTAGCTAACCTTTATAATCGTTCCTATGCTCAGTGCAACTGTGTCTGATGACATTTACCATAAGTCTCTTTTAGAAGTTTTATTTTCTGCTCATTGATCTATTTCTGTCAGATCTCTTAATGCTACTAATGATGTGCTGATGATATTGCTCAGTCAGCAGTCTTTGTTTTTAATTTCTCTGGAGATCTTTCAAGGCCACCTGCTTTATCTGCTTCCTGCTTCTGTAACCTATTACAGAAATATTTTTTAGAAACCTGAAGATACTTTCATTGATAGTGAGGACTCTGCTTTCCCAATCTGTGCTATGTTCCATCTGCTCTAGCTCATTTTTTGTGTTTGACATCTTCAGGAGATGCAGAACTGAAAGAGCTTTTCTGAATTAGCAAATCCAGCTCCTTCTTGCCTTGGGCTGTCACATCACAGGACCCAACTGTCAACTAAAATCCAGGATAGTTAAAGTGGAACTTGTTATCTTTTTGTTCCTCCACACATCAAACCATTTTTAAAGGCATGGACACTGTTATCCTCCTCATTATCTTATATTCTTAATGTTTATTTTGACTTGGCTTTCATCCAAGTGGTAAACACATGCCGGTGCCGCTTTGTCTGTAATAGCAAAGTTTTTATCTTTCTATTCATTCTGTTATTACTTAAATTCTCACCAAGTCCTTGTACATTTTGACATAATCAATTTTTGTGTGTCCTTCCTTTAATTGCTGCAATATAACCACAATGGTTCTGTCAGATATTTTTGTCTCAGAATAAGCTCCCTGTATGTTTTCCCCTTCTTACCTGGTAATCTGTACAGTACCTTTCCAAGATCTACAAGGCATATTCTTCCTTGTCTCAGTCCTGATGTTTAGAATCAATTAGACCAGCACTTAGTTCCATCGGTGTTTCTAGTGATCACTGTGTTCCTTTTCTTAGACAGAAGTGTCTGAAAAATGTGTGCATAGCAATTATTCTGTTTCATGTCACTCCACATAGTTGTTCTCTTCTGTGAAGCCTGAAAGAAGCTCCTGGTGGCTGTTGCAGTCAACTTAAGTCTATTTTTCTTCCTCCTGCTCATAAATCTTTAGTTACTTCACAGCAATTTCCTCTCAATTTATGTTTGTCTTGGAAAAAAAACCCCAAGCCCAACAACAACAATAAAAAACCTGCAAATCTGCTTTATTTATTATATATTATCCAGAGGGACCTTGACAGACTGGAGAGGTGGGCCAATGCCAACCTCATGAAATTCTAGGCCAAGTGCAAGGTCCTGCACCTGGGTCAGCACTACCCCAGGCACAAATACAGGCTGGGGGGAGAATGGATAAAGAGAAGTCCTGGAGAGAAGGACTTGGGGGTGGTAGTAGATGAGAAGCTTAACGTGAGCCTCCAGTGTGTGCTGGAGCCCAGAGAGCCAAACACATCCTGGGCTGCACCAAAGGAAGTGTGGCCAGCAGGGCCAGGGAGGTGATTCTGCCCCTCTACTCTACTCTGGTGAGACCCCACCTGGAATAATTGTATAGTTTTATGCCCTCAGCACAAGAAGGATATAGACCTGTTAGAGAGGGACCAGAGAAGGGCCACCAAGATGATCAAAGGCCTGGAGCACCTCTGCTATGAAGACAGGCTGAGAGAGTTGGGGATAAATTGGGGCTTTTCAGAACTAGAGAAGAGAAGGCTCCGGTGAGACCTTATAGCAGCCTTCCAGTACCTGAAGGGGGCCTACAGGAAAGCTGGGAGGGGCTTTTCATTAAAGAAGACAGTGACAGGACAAGGGGTCATGGTTTTAAACTGAGAGAGGGGAGATTTAGATATTAGGAAGAAATTCTTCACTATAAGGGTGGTGAGCAACTGGAATGGGCTGCCCAGGAAGGTTGTTGATGCTCCATCCCTGGAGGTTTTTAAGGCCAGGTTGGATGAGGTTTTGTGCAACCTGATCTAGTGGTGGAGTTTCCTGCTTATGGCAGGGGAGTTGGAACATGATGGTCTTTAAAGTCCCTTCCAACCTTAATGATTCTATAATTATCATGTTCCCAGGTTTATCCTTGTCCAGTTTTACAGCAATCTGAGAATTATGCTAATTTGTTTTTTGAGTTCAACTGTGTCATGTCTAAGCATTACTCATGTAATTGCTTGTGTATTCATACATTGCTTTAGAGCAGACGTGCTTCTGAAGAAATTATTTTTACCACTACTTTGTCACTGTGTTATTGCCCAGGTTTATTTTCATTCTGTACAAGCAGGTGATTTGTTGTGGCACTTGTCTGGCCGTGGAATTTCTATCGTAGGGTCACGGAAGGCTTTTGTTTGAGAAATCAGTGCTGTATCATACTAACCTTCATTTTGGGTTCTATATCGCCTTTGCTTTGTAACATTTCTTGTATTTTTATAGTATGTGTGTTAACAGTGAGCATACTATGAGCAATTAATCTAAATCCAGAATTAGATTTAGGTTTACATGTCCTGATACATTTTTGGCAAATAGCTAACCTTCAGATGGTGTCCACTGATTATGTATCCTCCCCCTTTTCCTTTTTCATCCCTTTCCTCTCCCTTTTCTGCCCCCTTCTGCCCTTTCCCCTCTTTTTCCCTGTTCCTGAGGTAGATACTGATCTACATGCTGTGATTTTTTTTTTTTTCAGCTGTTTGAACACCACGCTGTTCAAATAGAAAACTCTGGGACTGCATTTTGATTCAAGCTTGGTTTAAATTACACAATAGACTTAGAAATATTCCTTTATCTTATCTCTCATCTAAAATTGCTCAGCTGAAGCCATACTTGCTGTTTTCATGTTTTTTGAGTTGTTTAATTATTTATTTTAGGAGGTCTCTGCTGATCCCACAGGAACTCTCACAGCAGCTGAAGAGAGAAAGGAGAAGGTGCCAAGCCCACATCTCAGTCATCTCGTAGTTCTGACATCTGGCAATGCGCTGTATGGTTTAGCAGAGAGAGTGGTGGCCACAGAATCCTTGTAGGTTATTTACTGTGCAGTGCATTTTGTGGTTACTGGAAGCTATGGATTGCTTATAACAGATTGCAATTACCAGCCAAAACCTTCTTGAGAGGTCAAAAATTCCTGCTTCTCAATGTGATTTTAAATATGAGTGATAGAGGTAATTTCTTAATCAAAGGTAGTGGAAGCTAACCATCTGGTCTAACCATCTGCAAACATATGCAATCAAATTTACTGCAGCTGGTCCAGTAATTTGTGACAGTACAAGGCCAAATCACAGGAAAAATCTTTCATTTTAAAGAGGACTATTTAATCTGTATGGTTCATTTAAACCTTACATTAAGTACTCAAATGTGGGTGGCTGAGTCTCAAAACTGCTTAGTTCATATTGGTTTGGCTGGGATTGCAGTGTTCTCTGCAACGGGTGGAAGTTTACCTGTGAGGAAGAGATAATAACAAGTGAGTAATGCAAAACTCTTAAAACATTGTTAGAATAATACCCGGTCATGTGACAATATGAAAAACTATAAATTAATATTAAAAATATTTTTTCAAAGGAACTTACTTTCTTTTGCATTAATTTATGCTTAGTTAGAAATACAGTTCTTTGTTATGTTGCTATTAAGGAATCCTCCCCCTGAGAGAGATTTTGATTTCATAGTCTATATTCTAAAAGATTCACTGGTAAATAAGTGTTTAGGAATGTTTTGGAATTCTGACATGGGTTTATTAATATTAATGTTGACAGCCCCACCGTGTGGAAATTACAGGACACTTGCCCACTGACTTTAGTAGCCTTTGGTATGGTTCTTCTCAGGATTAAATTTTCCAGGGTTACATATCATTATTGCAAAATACATCAACTGCATAGTAAAAGTTGTGCAGAGACATGCCAAATGCTGCATTTAGTTCACAGTGAATTTTCTTTGCTTTCAAAGGGTTTTTCTGGCTGAGCAGTTTGAGTTTCTTCAGCCTCATCTTGATGCGGTGATGCCAGCTGCCAAGAAGCCTTTTCTTCAGCAGTTCTATTCTCAGGTCAGAATTGTGTAATTCACAGCTAATCTGAAATTTGTACAATATGGTATAAATACTTGTACATCATAGTTACGTATTGCTCTCGTTAGCCAAACGTTTACTGAATTGAATTCTATTTGTGTTCTGTTTCAGACAGTGTCAACTGCCAGTGAACTGCGTAAACCAGTTTATTGGATTGTAGCTGCTAAAGCTATTGATTATGAACAAATGCTGCTTCTGATGACTAATGTGAAGTGGGATGTGAAGGAAATAATGTCACAACACAACATATATGTAGATGCTCTTTTAAAGGTGAATACTTCTGGGAAATAGTGTGCTAGAGTTTATATAAAGATTAAATTATTGTAATACTTCACTAAAACTGTTGAAGTAGCATAGTTAGAGCCCTACAGTATCCAGGGAAGTAGAAAGTTCTTACGAGTACATCTGTCCAGAATTTTCATTATTCTTGCTGCCTGCAGGTTTTTTACAGTGCTGATTTTTTAAATACATGGTGCATGAAAGTGACAACACAGGTTGATTGACTTTCTTGTCTAAGTCTTGAATGGTAGATAAATGTGTAGTAAACAGAGTAAAACTGAGGAAAATCCAGTGGCCTGAGGTTGTGGCTTTTTAACAAAGGCTGCTTTTTATTCTGCATAATTTTATTGGTTGTCTTTGAGATGTATTGTAGGGGCTATAGGTCAAACCAGGTCTGATCATGATCATGCATTATCTAATTGAAGTTGCTATATTTAAAAGTTAGCATTTGAAAAGAAAAGTAAAAGCAAAGTTGTTGGCCCACCTTCTCAATAGCATTCAGCAGAAGTGTTTATACAATTGCTGTGCCTTATGGCATACAGAGCCACTTCTTGTGAGAATCCCTATCATGCTTTTATATATGCCCAAATGAAGTTTCTAAAGGTCTCTAGAAGGACACACTGGTAGTGGTAGAATGATAGTAATTCTTACAGAGAAACTGAAAATTTTCTTTTAAAGATAGGTGAAGTCTGTGTCACAGAAGAAGTTACGCATCTGTGTTGAACAGCAGTTTTGATTACACTTTTGTACTCTGTAGCTGTTCTTTACTTTAAAAAAATCAATGCAAAGAAGAGAGAATCTGTTAGAGGATGTATTATTACATGGAATTTGACTGAATTTTTGTGATTACTCTTCTTTATGCTGTCGTGGCTTTTTGAAACCAGTTTGTAATTACAATTTTTGGTCTCTGCAGTTGAACTTTTTCCTTTTGTGATTCATCCTTCTGATGAATTTGTTTCAGGACAATCAGGTCTACTGCCATTTAAAACCATGTCTGGCCTCTATGTTATATAGTTAATAATACTTACAACAGAAGCTTTTAAATTGGTTCTAAGCAATTAGTGATTTCCTTTGTGCCCTGGGACTCCAGGAGTGTTAGATGTAAGCAAAACATTTAATATAATAACTAGCTATTTTTAGCCATGTGCATACACGTGCAAAATTCCATACTCATTATATATGGAAGCAGATAACTGGGAAAGAAGATTGTTCACGAATTTCATTAATACAGAGTGATAGGCATCTCCAGCTGCAGAAGAGTGAGTTGTATGCCAGTTAAAGCATGGCATTGCAGGACCCTGCTTCCTCTTGCCAATTTCCTCTTTCAGAAAACTTGTGTTAAATACCAATTTTTTGTAAGATACTAAGCTAAACTGGCAACTGAGATTCCCTTCTGAATGATCGTTTTCTTCAGCTGAAGAAACAAACTAGATTAATAGCCTTGGAATTAAAACATGTTGTTAGACAAGTCTGGTCTTAATAGGGTGCATTACAAATTGCTTTTGCTGGTTACACAAAGCAGTTAATTATCAAGGTCTGCTAATGTTTAACTCATTTGATACCTTTTTTTTTTTTAAATGATAGGTGTGTTAGTCACTGGCAACAGACTTCTATTTCATTTTTATAAGTCACAAAATCATTGTAGCAGGAAATATATTCAGTTATGACTGGTTTGTCACTCATAGTAACAGCTCAAATCCATATAGGCCATTGATGTTTCAGGTTGAAACAGGTGTCTTCCCTCAACCTAAATTGTTACCTAGCACTGCAGTGTGCTCCCAAGGTGTTTGGTTTGGATTCTTCTCAGTGGGTGCTTTCAACTCCTTTTAAAGCACTGGGGAACTATCTGCTGTGAAAACTTGAAGAATGAAAAGTAGTTAAAATATTTCTGAGCTTCCCTTTGAAAGCTGAGAGGGTGAGTATTTAGAGACATAAAGACATCATTGCTCAGCTGTCTTCAGTGGCTGTATAATGACTTCCAAAAAGTTAAAGATTAGTTTAGGGAGTGGGGCGATGAAAACTACATTTGAAGGATTCACTACTTGGTTAGTTTTCAGTGTCAGTTTCACAGAGAACTGCACCTCAGGGGACCAGAGCAGTATTTCCTTTAAAAATAATAATTTCTCAGGTAATGCTGTGAATGATATACTAGAAAGTGGTATGCTTTCTGCTTTACATATTAAGCTTGTCTCTACAGTCTGTGCCTCTTAAGCTTCTCTTCTTTGCTCCTTATTTTTCAGTATTCTCTCTCATGAGTATTTCTAATTCTTTGCTGCTGCTGTTGCTAGAATGTATATAATATGAATGCTTTTATGTTGAAGGAATAATGGTCTTTCATTTTTCATCAGGAATTTGAAGAATTTAACAGAAGGTTGAATGAGGTGTCTAAGAGAGTCCGTATTCCACTGCCAGTCTCCAACATCCTTTGGGAGCACTGCATACGTTTGGCCAATAGAACTCTTGTGGAAGGGTAAGAAGTTCATTAAAGCCTTGCTTTTGGTAAATATGTCTATAGTGCTAACATCTATTTTATGGAATTACAAGTTCTAATTTTGTAGTGCACTGTTAAGCTTTTGGGGAGCCTGAAAAATATCAAGGCTTAACATAGTCCTTGGCTGTTTTATAGAGCCTGGTACAGCATTAAGCCTAAAGTGTGTGGTCTTGCACCTGGACACTGCTGAAGAAAGACTTCAAGTGTTTTTTTTAAATATTTGAAACAATATATTTCTCTTTCAAAGAAACTTCTATATGAAAATTATCATTTCCCAACAAAGAAAAGAAGAAAGTGTAGTTGTCAGTATCTCTATGGTGATGCCATTTGTCTTTGCCAGGAAGAAAGATGGAGTTGTCAACCCTGGCAGTTAGAGTAGCCGTGGAGCAGGATTTTCTAAATTCATCAGGAACAGGGAGGTGTCTCAGCTTGGTCAATAGAAGCTTAAGCACCTTTGTCAGAAACTGCTACACCTTGTTTATCCCTCCCTCTTAATCAATGTCCCACATTTTTCAGAGTCAATATTTTAGCCTGAGTATTGTAGTTTTTTCATCGATTGCATTTATTTTTGTATTCTTGTCTGCTTGCTACATATGTTTGTGCTGTACTTACAGCTTCTTCTGCATAATAAAATGTGTTGTCTTCCACTCCTCCTACATATATTTCCATATTTATTTTCTGTTTACGTTATTCACTCCCTAGTACCTACTTTGCTTCTTTCCATCTCACTCTCCTGTTGTCTGCTCTAATTTAGGACCTCAACAACATCCTTCTCCAAGTGTTAGGTCTCTATTGAGGATTATCTGCTTCCACTGCGTCCATCAAGCCATCATTTAAACTCATGCCCATTTGTTTTTGTGCCATCCTACTTTTGCAGAAATTGAGAGATTAATTTAATCTTCAGGGAGACTAGACCCAACCAATGATCTTGTCTGCATTTAACTTAAAACCATAATTATGTTCCTGCTCAAGGCTGAAAGGACTAAGTGGAACAACTTGGTAAGATTAATTTTTATTTCCTTCTAAGTTTTACTTCCTACTGTGTTTCTCTTTTCAGTTATGCCAATGTGAAGAAGTGCAGCAATGAAGGACGTGCCTTGATGCAACTGGACTTTCAACAATTCTTAATGAAATTAGAAAAGTTAACAGACATTAGACCTATTCCAGATAAAGAATTTGTGGAGACCTACATTAAAGCATATTACCTAACAGAAAATGATATGGAACGCTGGATAAAAGAACACAGGGTAAGAGTTAAATTTGCATTCTTTTACTGCCTATTGGAAAAATTCACCATGATGATAACAGAATCGTGCTGACAACTATGAATGATCAATGCTTCTATGTGTTAAAAAATAATATCTGCATATATATGTATATATTAACTTATTATAATAAAATCTGTATAGGAAGCAGTATAAATATAAATGTGTATGTGTGCATGTATATGTTAATTTTATTTATTACCATATGAAGTGAGCATGCATTTGTACTGATTCAACATCTAATGACTGGGAAGGATGAGTAAGCCAGTCACATCTGTCATAAAATGTAGCGAACTAGAGTCAAGGGAAGTTGAAAATATTTGTGTGCTGTTCGGAATATGCCAAAGTTCCCAACTCGATCATCAATAGTATAATTTGAAATCACACCATTAAGTTTTACTTTGCCTTCATGAGTGGATTGCTTAAACTAAGCTCTAAGGCACAGTGGATAGGAGTCACTGATTTTCTTCTTCATTTAATAATGACTCAGGATCAACATTGCTCTCCAAGATATGTCTTCATTTGTGTTTTCAAAACATTTAACATGCTTTCGTGGTAGCATAACCTAACGTACAGTAGGACTCTGTAAGTAATAGTCATGTGCTATTGGACCTGCCCATTATTGAAGTGAAAAGTCCTTTAAAAATGGAGCACTTTGAAATCTGCAATTTGGGATTACTTTAGATCTAACTAGAAATGGATGAAACAAACGTCTTTAATATAATTTTCCATGTTTTACTTGGAGCTACAAGAGAGATTATGAGTTGTTGTTTGGCGACCTACATGGAAAAACTATTGTTTAAACCTGCTGATAGAAGCTATGCATTTGATAGTGTTAGGTATAAAGGTAGTACTGGGAAATGTGGTGCTTTGACAGGTGTTAAGAATCCTTGTCTTTACATTTTTGCCATTTTTTCCTCCTTTATCATGCACTGAAATTAACCTTATTTGGAGATTCTGTAGACAGAAGTATTTAGAAGCTTGTTAGAAATGAGAAGTCAAAATAAAAACAATCATCCAGTTTTGCCACAGTTTGTTTAGAAAAATGTTCTTGTGTTAAAAGCTTATCCCATTTGTTTATACATTTCCCACCTCACCACACAAAGAACAGAAAATACATTAAAATGTGAGTTATGTATATGTGTATTCACAGAAACATTTTCTGTGAACTCAGTCCAACACTGCTGAAGCTCTAAGCATTTTCCACTATAATGTGCCATGTAGCAAAATACAGTTTTGTCCTCAGCCTCAGCTATAAAAACTATCCAGATCTGATTTAACTGCCACTTTAAATCTCCCTTGTGTCCTAACGACATCTCTCAGTTGAGAAGTCCACAGTGCGCTTTACTGTGCTTTCTGGCTTTCTACCTTTTTCTGGTGTTTTATTCTGCCATAACATGATCTGCTTTTATTTGCCAGGAATATTCCACTAAGCAGTTGATTAATCTGGTGAATGTTTGTCTGGGCTCCCATATCAACAAGAAGGCAAGACAGAAGCTGCTGGCTGCTATTGACGACATAGACAGGCCTAAAAGATAACTGGAGAAAGCTGTTTTCCTTGTGACTTGTACCTTTTTCTGTTCATGTGAAGCAGGCAGACAAACGTCTGGTGGACTGATGACAACATTCTCTTAAAACCCATTGTGCATGATGTTTCTTACCAGCATTGGCGACTTTCTGAAGTGGCGTAATATATGATTTTTCTAATCTGTAGACTTGTTTTTCTGTTGTATTTCTTCTCTTTTTTTGTTGTTGTTACTTGCCCTTAGTAAAAGGGCCACTGATTGTGTATCATTGGTGAGCTGTATATTTTGCAAAACTGTATACTGTAAGTAAAATCAAAACCAGAGAGAAACACATTGGCTTAATATATAGTTGATGTTCTTTTTTATAAAAGAGCTACTTGAAAATATTATTTCTTTCCTCCCTGCTCTAACCATCAGAAATTGTGCTTTATTATGGACCAGTATAAAATGAACAGAAATGTATGATATTTGATCAATGTATCTTGCATGTGGATTAAGAGTGCAGATCAACTAATACTCTGCTGTTAAGGACTCTCACCTTCATATGTATTCAGAACGTCTGCTATTCCAGAATTGATTTAGTCATATCAAAGTTATTGACTTCAGATTAATAGAAGGTAATAAATACTGTACACTAATACGATTGATTTGTGAGACTTTATTTTCCTAATTTAACAATGCAAAATGTCATTTCTAATAGAAATTAGTACTGTTTCTTTTATATCACTTCCCTTTTGCCCCTCTGCCAGTCCTCCCTGTTCTGAAGCCATAATGTCAGGGAATAGGAATAATTTTTTTTGGCTGAAGTTTTGGATTGATACTAAGATAATTTTACTATTTCCTCCTCTGCTGTAGACATCCTGAGCAATCCTCAGCCAGACAAAATTGGTTGGCTGCATATTTGTTCTAGAAATTGATTTATCACAGTTTCACTGACTACACTAAAGTTTTCAGGTTTGCCTTTGGCTTTCAGCATGTAAAGTTTTAGGGGGCTATCTATTTATTTATTACATAAGAAACTTCTTTGCAGTGCTTTCAGACCTTGTAAAAAGGAGTGTGCTAGCACTGAGCTAACAGGTAAAATAACCTACATAAGCTGTAATTCTCTAATGTGTGCAACATGGTAAATTCTCACTCTTGGGCAAATACTTGCCATTGTAATTTTAATTCAGACGTGGGAGAATCGAGACTCGCTGAATGACAGCAGTACCTAGTGACTGAAAAGTGCCCCATGGAATCATTATAATTCCTCTTTTCTGTAGCTTCATTTCCTTGTCAGAAGTGAACTGAGCATGAGTGAAAGCCTGTGTACAGTTCTAGAAGAATGCTAAGGTCTACTTTTCAAATATTGACTGTTCAGCTCCCTTGTTCATCTAGATTTTGAAGGAAGAAAGACAATTTAACTCCATTCTTTATTGACCATACTGTCATGCTGAGTTCCATTTAAAACTTGTTTAGCAGTGTGTTAATGTTTGTGTTGATGCTGAGTCACTTTTACCCACATTAAAAAGGTGGTTCAAAAAAGGCAAAGTGTCGTTCACCCTCAAAGTGTGGACTTTTGCGTCAGTGCATCTGCCCTGAAGTCAGATCCTGAACAAGAACTCTGGGAGGAAGGAGAAATGTGTCGGAGGTTATTGGTGTAAAATCTGATTCAATTTTCGTCTCACGGATGAAGTAAGAAATTTAAGTATCTTTACCAGGACATTAGTGAGCTGAACACATAGTTAATGTCTCTTGACCTGTTTAGGCTGCTGTAATTTGGTTGCTTACCAAAAGGTAGCAGTGAGTGGAGTGTAGGGTCAGGGAAGGAGGTGAGCAATTCTGTGACTCATAGGAGTATTTTTTTTGTTGTATATCTATAGTTTGACTTGTTATTTTTAGGTAAGCCTCCAACTAAAATAATGTGTAAGATGTGTTAAACCTGTGCAACAATTGTTGGATCTTCATTCATATATGCCTCAGAATTTACTATATTTTCCAGAGGAACCTACCCTTGCTTCCCAGGATTGATACTAAGGGAGAAACTACATAGCTTAATGGCCTACATACAGTCTTAGATATATGATTTAACTTTCACGTCGTCCTGTGTGGAGTCAGGAGTTGGACTCAGTGATCCTCATGGGTCCCTTCTGAATCAGGATGTTCCATATTATTTGGTCCTTTGTGACTAATGAAGCCAAGTTTGGGCTGAATGTTGAATTATTAACTTACTAGGGTAGAACTGGGTCTGTTCGGTAGTTTCCATCCTCTGTATGAGAATTCTTTACAAACCATTGATTTTTTTTAGTTTCTCTGCATCTTAATTCTCCTTTGGAATGCTGCTTTTTCTACAACAGAGAATATGATTTAAATATTCTTTATGTTTTGGAAGAGTACTTTGGAATACTCTACTAGGACAAGGAGTAATGGTTTTAAACTAAAATACAATAGATTTTTATTAGGTATGAGGAAGAAATTCTTTACAATGAGGGTGGTGAAACACTGAAACAGATTGCCCAGAGAGGTGGTAGAAGCCCCATCCCTGGAAACATTCAAGGTCAGGTTGGCCAGGGCTCTGAGCAACCTGATCTAGTTGCATATGTCCCAGCTTATTGCTGAGGGCTTGGACTAGATGACCTTTACAGGTTCCTTCCAACCCAAACTATGCTATGAATCTGTGAAGACTATTTCCTTCAGTCTCTGAGGAGAATGACCAGTTCTGCAGAGGTGGGCAATGCATCTGTCAGTCCTTCATTAGCCTAATGAAGAATTTAAATCATCTTGCCCAGAGAATGAGTTGGAGCACAGATGACCAGTTTTCAAGTCTGGCTAGGGAAAGCCTGTCCCTGCCCCCATGAACATACAGTTGGCTCTTCTACAGTCAGCTTCTCTCAGTTGCATCTATTGGTGATGCTGTTGTCCAAAGCATCAGCTACTGAGACGAAAACAGGACAAGGCACACAGCTTTACATTTGGTATCATGAGACATGCCTCCCTTCCCCCAGTGGCACAGGGGGACAGAGGATGGGGTTTAGAGTCATTTCACAGGCTGGTGGGTCTTGCTGCTCCTTCCTCCTCAGGAAGAAGGATTCCTTACAGTCCTTCCCTGCTTCCCCACAGGGTCCATCCCATGGGAGAGAGTCCTCCACGAACCTCTCCTTCATGAGTCCTTCCCACCAGGCCCAGAGCTGCTCCAGCCTGGGCTTCCCACAGTCACAGGCTCCTTCAGGAACAAACTCCCCGGGTGCCGGGGTCTTCCAAAGCTGCACAATCAGAGTCTACTGGCGGCAAATCCTCTGGCCACAAAAGCCGAGTCCACTGGCCAAGTTCACCCCTCTTGGCACCTCCAGGGAATGTTCTACTACATTCCTCCACAAGTGCAGGGGGACAGCTGCCATCTCTCCTGGGGTTGCAGGGAAACTTCTGCTTGGGGACCTTCTTCCCCTTCTTTCTCACCAACCACCAGCACCACTCTCATCCTCCAGCACAGCTCTTCCCTCCTAAGTGCCCCTCTGCTCAGGTTTTGTATCAGTTCTTCTGTATGTTAATCGCTGACGGTGCATCTATTGTCCCTCTAATGGCTCCTTGGCTGAGTTTGGAGCAGGGGGACCTTCTCGGCTTCTTACCCGAGCTGCTCCTGGTGCCCTTCCCCTGCTACCAAAAAACTCACCAAACCAGAACAAATAAACCCTATTTGGTAACTCAAACTTTGAATGTAGCCCATGTTTAAAAAACAAACAAAGCCCTCAAAAACACATAGACAAGAAAACCCTCCACTCTGATTAAATTGGTAAGTAGTGCTGCCTCTTTATCATACTCCTCAAAAGGCCAAATGTCAGCAAACACCTGCTATAGCATAAATGATGCAAACAGAAATGGACAAAAAATGCAGATTTATTGTGTGTGAGTGATGGTATCTTTTTGATTTATAACCACTGCTTGAACAGCATAGCTTAAAGACTAAACTTTGCACTAGACACTAGGATTATGGTGAAGTATGGAAATGACACAATTTGCAAACAGCAAAGTTTCTGTGCCTGTTGGCTATTCAAGGATGTTTGTGAATGTGTTGCTTCTGCTGGGCCAGAGTTGGTTTTTGTAACAGCAGGTACTTTGATTTTAAGAACTTCTGCTCTTCCATGAGATCCCAAAGTGTGATGTGGGCAGCATATTTAAAACCAAAGACCACAAATCTGTGTTTTGTGGTTTGTTTTGTTTTTAATAAGCAATATTCAATAACATGCCATATTATAAAGTACATGCCTGAGAAACTAATGAGGTGACAAGTAACCTCTTGTTTTTTGTGGTGGATCCATTGCTTAGTTTTATTTTGATGGAGTATTCTGTCCAGACCCAGAGAGTTGACATGTAAGCTAAACTAAAAATAGCTGGATGTGATCTAAACATGAATCTACTTGGCTGTCCTGATGAAGAAAGTCCTCCCAGCTCAGCTGCATCGGTCTGAAACTTGACCTGGCTATATATGTGAAAGCAAAACAGCTTTCAGAGCAGAGATGTATAGATCTATGTATTATATTTGTAGGTAACCTTGCATAGATTTTAGTATTGTCAGATTTAAAACTGTGAAACTGCACAAAATTAATGGATCATTATTGTAGAGTGGTTGGACCAGATGACCCTTCCAGGTGCCTTCCTACCCAATACTCATATGATTCTATGTGCAAAGTGACTGTAGGTCTTTCTGTAGATATTTTTTACAAGTAAATCCAAGCCTCTCACTTGCATGTGTTTCCTCCCCTATATCTCTAGTAGTTTTTATTCTTAAGTACTACTGCTCATAAATACAAAGTCAACCCTTTCTTTGTATTTCGGTAAAGAATAAAATAGAAATGTCACCTCAGCCTTAAAATGGAAAGGTTTCTTTTACAGGAGAAATAGTTACCCTGTGGCTGTTATCTGAGAGCTGCAGAATATATCATGTAGCATATACACCATAAAACTGTTCCTTTTGAAATTCATCCATATATTATAGTGTGAATACACAGACACACAGAGCTTTGTGTGCAATGTAATTCAACACTGGGGGTCACGGAAAAGAATGTCAAAATTCAGAACAAGCAGCACAATTTTGATGTCTCTGGCATTACTTACATTAGTAGCTGACCCCGAGACCTCGGTAGGTGGTGCAGAGGTGTTTCCTCGTGTGAGTGACTGGTGAGCAGGGTCATAATCTAGGTTTGAATTCAGAGCTTTGAGTACATCTGAGTTGCTCTACTGCTCCCACTGCTCCTGACTTCATCTGCTGCTGACGTGTGCTGTGTAGGGAGCGTCACGCAGGAAGGAGCCTGCTGCAGAGGAGCTCTAGCCCTGCCCAGCCCTGTAAGCATCAGCCTGGACACTGTGGTGAGCATGATGCTCCTGCCCATAAGCAGAGATGGTAGACAGGTGTGCTTGCAGTCTTGGCTGCCTGGAGGCACAGCTGCTCCACTTGCATGAGATCAGTGGGATGGAGGGCAGG